GACCTTGATTGAACCTGGGATCTTTCAGTCCGCAGGTGGACACTCTATCCACTGAGCCAAACCGGTTTTGGCAGACTCATATTTTGAAAGAAGCAAAGCTGTTCTTCACATTTAGTGAGAGCAAACCAAAGTGAAATTCTTCTCAATTCTACCAAGATTAAACTCCCCTTAGAATTTGTTGCTTGCTTGTATTGCTCGATAATGATGGGTTCACAGAAGCAAGCTATACTCAAATTTCTTAATGAGCAAGGTAAATAATACATGTTTATTGAATTAATTTTGGTGATTAAAAAGTTCATAGTTTTTAGTGTACAAAATAACTTTTGATCTCTTTTGAATTAGATTTAGACTTTTCATGTGAATCTATTATGGCAAATACATATGAGAATAATATGAGAAATGTAAAAATTTTTTTCTGCAAGATTCATTTGTATAAATTATTCTAAAACTAAACTGAATAATACAGGATGTTCTTTCTTTACTCCTATATTTTAGAATGAAATGGTTATGTATTTCAGACACCGCATAACTCTTTCATAAATAATCCTTTTGTTTTGAATAAAACACCAGGGGATGTATTCGGAGGCAATGAGTGCTATAAGGAAAGGGTAGACTAAGGCATATTGTCATTTTGAAAAGGGGGTTCAAGGTAGGTCTCACCAAGAAGATGGATGACATTTGGGCAGGGACTTGAAAGAATCTTTAAATTTTGGACTTCAAAATCAAAATTCGACGTGAGTTTTTTCTTAAAATTTTTAATTTTATTACTTAAATCATAGATGGAAAAGAAAGTGTGATTTTTTTTAAATTAAAGAGTCATCTCCTGGGGGAGTGATGAAACTTTTTGTGTCTTTGTACATCCAGGAGCTTCAGTGTTGTTCCTCCTGAGGTTCTCTCTCTTTTATCACCCATGTGCATATCCAACCCTTTTACTACATGGGTGGGCTGGGGACATTTATCCATGTATTTCCAGAGCTTAGCATAGTACATGGCACATATTGTGACTTGAATGTCTAAACTGTCTTGTTGGAATATTCATTTAATTAAGCACTCATCATAGAGTTCTTTATTTTGTAGACCTCATATGTATATAACTTTGTGGTTATTTCTCCTGACATTCCACATGTGTACATACTTCTGTCTATCAGAGTTTCATTTGCATTTTCAACATTTACAGTACAACAGTGCCCTAGCAGTAGGCACTTAAATTATAATTTAATATTATAGTTTAATTCCTAGAATATGGATCTTTTTTTTTTTAAACTAGGACTGAGGCTTCTAAAATACCTTGCGATAATAACAAGGTGATTTCTTTTGGATTTGTTGGAATGAAATAGCATTTGGGGAACTCTTAGCCAACAGAGGGGATTCCAAATAATGGGATCTTTGTTCAGAGTTCCTCATAGCTAAGTCAGTTGGCACTCATCATTTTAACCTCATTGGAGGACAATGGAGTTAAGTGGGATATAAAGGGTACTGTGGGCAATACACTGAAGCCTTGTAACAATATAGTGTGTAGTTGCAAAGGGGATTGGAAGGTCTATAAAAGCTGCCAGAAAGAACAAAAAAATATAATTAAAGAAGTAAAAAGACCTATTGAGCACAATCTCAGGGACTATTCCAGGCAACAGTAAATGTCTCCTCAAATATATCTTTAAAAGGTGGAAAGCCAAGTGTAAAACCAATCCCACGGAGAGAGGAAGGATAATACCAAATTAAATTGTAGGAACAGGTAATAGGAGTTGGACTTGCTTATGTTAATTTCCATCTTTCTTTAGAACAGTTAGGTGGTGGCAAACACATAGGTCAGACAATTTGAAATTCTTAGATGAGAAGAGGATAAAGTAGAAGAAAAATATTAATGAGGTAATATTTTTAGACAGATGTGGCTCAGAATAGGATGGATAAACGGGTATATAGAAAACAGCTGGAATTCACACATTTTTGTGAACAGTTATTTTAATTTAGGTTCTATCAAAGTTGTTATGTAAGAAAAGGTTTTCCTTTCCTCTTCCACTTTATAAAAGCATGTAGGCTATCCATGATTTCCCTGAGAAGACAAGATAATACTTCCGGTAGGAAATATTCTCTGACAGTGAATTTTTATCACCTGGATCAGAGTTTCACCTGGTGAAACTGTTAAAGTTACCTGGATAATTTTCCCATTAAACATACCCTATTGAGAGCCATCACCATAGACATTTGAAGAGTTTATGATACTAATCATTACACTCTTACTTTCTAAAATTATCGACCTCTGTCTTGAATTATAAATAAACAAATAATAGTTGAAACATTAAAATTCTATATAATATAAGGCTAATATGCAAATTGGCCAAATTGTAGAATGACGGTTTGCTATGACATGTACTGACCACCAGGGGGCAGCTGTTCAATGAAGGAGCTGCCCCTGGTGGTCAGTGCACTCCCCCTCTGGAAGTGCCACTCAGCCAGAAGCTGGGCTCACGGCTGGCGAGCACAGCAGCGGTGGTGGGAGCTTCTCCCAATTCTACAGCAGCGACTCAGGACCCCTTGGGGTCCCGGACTGCGAGAGCGTGCAGTTCATGCTGAGGGAACTCCCCTCAGTGCATGAATGTCATGCACTGGGCCTCTGGTATGAAATAAGAATATTAGATTAGTAGAAGTGATGTGCAACGGTGATTTCTTGGATTCGGGGGCAGAGATCAGAACTCGTGCCTTAAGCTGATCTCTGCCAGCCAAGTCTTATCGTCACTTATATTATATTAATTATCATGGTTTCCTTTGTGCTAATTCCAAAAGCATTTTTAGTTTAGTGGCTGAAAGGACAAGCCACAACGATTGAAAAATAAAGTGTCAAGCTTGAAATGTCAAACACTGGCTTTCAGGCTAAAGATAAAACAAAACTCAACTTCAAAGGTAATTTGATATGCTAAGAAAAGGAGAAAAGTTTTTGATGAACTCTATCCATGTCCATACATCCACATTCGCACACGCACATGCATGTATAAAATGTGCAGCATAGCACTTTTTCAATCTCTCTCAGAAATATAACCTTGAAATGCATGCATTGAACCTCAGTCTAAATATATACCCTGACATATTGAAAGAAGTATCTTATACATAAAAACTACTGAATTAGTCTTGTGTGTATATAAGTTAACTGGAGGCCCAATGCACAAAATTTGTGCGAGGGGCTTGGCCCTCGCAGTCACAGTGGCTTGCCTCAGCCCTTGCAGCTGTGGCTTTGTCTGGAAGGACATTAGGAAGGTTGTTTGGCTGACCAGTCTAATTAGCATATTAAGCTTTTATTATTATAGATTATTATAGATATATATGCACACACACACACACACACACGAACAATATTTAGACCCTCGACGTATTAGTTTAAAGATACACACTACTTTACGTTGAGGAGCAATCATTCCAATGTTGAAACGTGTACTTTGCACATAAAACAGGCATTGTATTTCTACAGAGAAAGTCACTATAGAAAAATAATGTTATTTTTCCTTTTAACACTTGAAAAGCAGAGTACATGTTATAAAGCTAGAAGATCTTAGAAACAGAAATCTAGAAATAATTTATTGATTTCCTGCTGCATACCATGATGTGTGTGTGTGTGTGTGTGTGTGTGTGTGTGTGTGTGTGTGATGGGAATGGAGGTTGGTAGCAGGACACAAAAGGATTAGATACTATGGGCCCATTCCTAAGAATGTGAGAGAAGAAAAACAGAGAATGTTTTTATCTTTAATGATCACATTTAATCGTTGCAAAGAGAACAACAGAACAATAATCTCCCTTACTTCCAACTATCTCAACTCATGGCCAGACTTGTTTCTTCTATAACCCTGCTTATTCTCCCAATCCCTTTTTAAGCAAATCTCAGATCTCATATTATTTTGTCCTTAATCATGTCAGTACTTCAGTGTATATCTGTAAACAACAAGGACTCTTAAAAATAATATCATCAATCTTTAAAAAAAAACACACCTGAATATTATTATGCAAATGTTCTCAATTATTAGAGTTTTTTTTTAAATAGTTTATTTCTTTAACCATGTTCCAATTATTGCATGCCAAGGAGGTTTTTACAGTGTCTAGATTTTGCATACCAATGTGTGGTTAACATATTTCTCTTTCTCCTGAACTTTATGGGCATTGAGAGTTAGGTTGAAATTGTTTCAACAATAGAATTTAAAGTATGTATGAGGAGTGGATACAGCCTGCTTTTCAGATAAGTTCCTCTAATGGTCCCTCTTGTAAGCCAAGAATTTTATAGAAGCTCTTTCAAAGATTAGTATGGTGAAGTAATCAAATTCAGAATGCCTTGTAACTTAAAGGGAGACTCAGACATGGATATAATTTAACTCTACTAAAAAGCAAAAGACCTATAATTTCAGATGTTCCATAGTGCTTGCTTTTGGATCAGTATTAACAGAGCATAAAGTTTCAGCTTCTTTATGACCGTAAAGCTGGTGGAGGAGGCAACCCTCGGGACAACTCCATCAAATGCGAGAACTCCTTGGAACACAATTGGGTAGATAACCTTGCAGCTCCCTTCCAGCTCCAAACCTCAGGATGATGAGCTGCACGGCACAATTTACAATGTTGATGCGAACCCGTGAACTTTCCTTCCAGCAGTACTTGAGCAAAGCTAGGGAATGTTAAGGGGGAAAGGATAGACGCGCAGCACTTCAGCTCCGTGGAAGTATTTCTGGATTGACAAACTCTACAAAGTAGACTTAGAACAGACAATGCGTTGACACGCCTCAGTTCCTCTTGGAAGCAAAACAAAATAAAACAGCTGCCGGTGACAAGGGCCATGTCTTTGAAGGAAAGTGACAAGTAACAGGAGAGTGGCTCTGAATTGAGGTAGGAAGTTTTCATCCAATATATACTGTGCATTTATTTAATCAGTTGGGGTGTATTGTACCTGTGGGTTTTTTTTTTTTTTTTCCGACTAGCTGTGCTTTACATTGTGTGGTCTGCTAAGGATCATGAATCTGTTTCTGCAGGCGCAGACAGCTCACATTGTCCTGGAAGATGGAACTAAGATGAAGGGCTATTCCTTTGGCCATCCGTCCTCTGTCGCTGGTGAAGTGGTCTTTAATACCGGCCTGGGAGGGTGAGTGATGCTTCCACTCCAAGGCTTTCTTCTTCCTCTGTGTGGAGGAGGAACGGGATGATCTGACTCGTGGCGGGGAGTGGAAACCACTACATCATAGAAAGACTTCCTATTGCCCTGTGCCTGTGCGCTACCTCCTGCGCCATCCCTGAAAAGGGGCAGCAACGCAGACTCCCCTCTGCTGCTGTACATGAAATAGAACTCAAGACACCGGTGCTTCCCTGGGGTAGAAGACAGGACAAAATTATTCCCGGAAACAGTTGATGTGAGATTGCTCCGTGGCTTCTGCCATGCGAGGGATGGAAACGGGATGAAGAGTGGAGCAGGATAAAGGATGGAAACACACTCTAGTGCCGTTCTATTAGCCCCGCTGGGAATCAATGCGCATCCAATAGGAAGGACCCTAAGGAGCTAAGACAGTCCTTGGGCTTTTATGCAGTTTTGCATTCTAATAAGAAAGGTGACATAACAGATACATTTATAGCTTTGAAGAGCAGAGGCATGGAGCTGATATTTTCAAAATTTATCAACTGAGACCCAACTTAGCTGTTAAGATCTAAGAGATCGACTGCGAGTTGCTACAGAAATCCTACATCCTTGTTCATCTGAGAGCCACGAGACTGAAGTTATGGTCCCAGTTCTAACAATAACTGATTATGTGATATTGAGAAAAATCACTTAACCTCACATCTAAGCAGTGAGGAGGCCGTATCATACAGTCATTTACAGCTGGGAATTTAAAGAAGTATGAGTCTTTTTAAAAAACGACTAGATGGTTTCAGGAGGTTGTCATTAGAGATTCAAAAGACCAAACTATAAAATACTTGATGAATTCTTTAGTGAAATTCAAGTTAGCCTTATCCAAGACAGGGAGACACTGGGTTAACTGATATTGAAGATATTGATTGGCCAAACCTCCATAATATTATTAACGTACATTTTCTCTAACCTCTTGGCTCTGTGTTTGAAATGAGGAATATTAGATGGTTTTTTGAATAGTTCCACTAGTGAGAACATTAAATTACAGTGTATAAAACCTGCTTGAAACGTTTTCCTTCACCAGGCAATTATTTAAGCGTTTCGACAGCACTAATTACTAGCCGTGTTAATATACCTGCCAACAAACAACTGTTTAATATAGATCAGCATGATGGAGGGCACTGGAGTTTTCTTCTGTGTGATAGATTATGGGCAATAAATCTTGTCACATCACAGAAGTCAAACAGGACCTGATGGATTAATTTGCTTCCAACACGGCCGTTCGCTAGGACACGCTGTATTTAATTCATTTACTGGAAAGTATTGTAAGCACACGCTTAAAGAAAACGGACGGTTCTTTTATGGAAAGAAAAAAAGAAAGGGAAGTAAAATTTAATTAAGGATTTTTTTTTTTATGGAGAATAAGGCATTCGTTAATAAGCTTAGTCTATTTGTCATTGAGAAAGGCTGCTTTCATTCTTTGAGTGGCTCCCTCGGTGAGGTGGTTGATAATGAAGGGAGTTATTTTGTTTTTCATCTTCGAGAGATGCATTTATGTTGTGTGTAAGCTTTGGTTAAAAAATGATCAAGTGAGAGGCATCTGAGAAGTCAGCTGATGGAGGTGTGGATTAGTATCACAGCACTCCAGTCCCGTTAGGGATGCTGAGGGGGAAGACTAAGCACTCTGTCCACAGAGGTAGCTTTTGGGGTTAGTCTGGACAGGGGTTGAAGAATTCATGTTGGCTCCTGCCCGAGCTGAGCTTTATTGGTTTCAAGGTTGTGGATTTGGTCCCCCTCAGATCCTAAATTCACTTTCAGCAGTAATCTACAGGAAAGACTTGGTTTATTTAACTCTTTCTGCAGAAAGTGAAATGTGAGAGAGGACAAAAACGTTATTGCAACACATTCCAATGCATGGGGTAGCTACTATGCTACTGTAGATAGTTCCTGGCCTTTGTGGGGGTAACATTTCTCAAATATCTTATGTTTTCCTTCTCAGAACTAAAAAAAAAAAAAGCCCTTTTTGCCTTCTTCCCAATTCCACAGTAGTACTTTAAAATAGTTATTTGGATATTTTAATTCAGAAGTCAGAAATGCTTTGGGTCAAATTTTGTGGGATTGATTTTTTTCTTTTAAGTTAATAATAATTCTCAAACATATACCTTTTTCTTAAACTAAGCTATTTTGAAAATCAACTATGTTAAATCTATATTTCATAGAAATTAACTCTGTGTTTTAAATACTCAACAAGTGTTCATAAATGTATGCACTCATGCAACCACCACTGACATACTCAGTGTACTCTTCAGTATCCTACAAAGTATTAAAAAAACAACCTTTTACTTTTTCACAGTTAATATTTTGATGCATTTTGTAGCCTTCAATAACAAATATCATTTTTGGCTCACTTATGTCTGGTAGAATAAAGACATTTTCAGGATATCTGCAAACTTTAAAGCAGTATGTTTTAAAGTTAAAATGAAGACCTTTGTAAAACTTTAAAAAAATGACAAATTGAGGGAACAGAAATTATATGAGAGTATGCCTGAGGACTTAAAAGTCACTTTTTATTTTCCTTTCAGTCATATCATGAAATGAATTTCCATATTCTATCATGACATTTCCTTAGGTTTGCTAAAATCTAGAGATAGGTTTGTAGGATTTTGAGTTCTGTAATTTTGAAGGTTTGGTAATTAAGGCATTTTTTTGTTGGTAATTTTTGGCACCTTTACCCAGGTACCCGGAGGCTATTACTGACCCTGCCTACAAAGGACAGATTCTGACCATGGTCAATCCTATTATTGGGAATGGCGGAGCCCCTGACACTGCTGCATTGGATGAAATGGGACTTAGCAAATATATGGAGTCTGATGGAATTAAGGTAATACCAGTGATGACTATTTAAAAAAAATCACAACGTTAGGTTACTACTGTAAGACACTAGGGGAAAATTTCTTCTTCAATACTTTAGTATAGACTGTTAAATTTATATTTTCACCCTCATCCTAGATACATGAGAATAATCTTTAATATGTTACTTTGAGTTTTATTTCCCAGGGCACTTCAGATTTGTTCTTTAATGCCTTGGATGCAACTTGACTTCATTTGGAAAAATATTGTTATAAGTCCAAATAATAGTAATGCTACAAGAATTGGTGATGAATCACCTTTTAATTGATAAGTCTGTATTAATTATTTGCCTCTTTATCTTGTTCTCTTTAGGAGATGAATAAAGGATAGCTTATATGCTAGTCTGAAAGTAAACACATTAAAATTTTCTATTAATGGTACATTTTCATCCTATCTTATGAATGTGGACCATACAAACAACTAAAAAATTTACTTTCACTCTATTTCTCACAATTTTACCCAAAATTCTCATTCACCTTTAAATATAGATTTAAAAATATTTTATCTGTCATGCCCATTAAGTAAGTAATTACTTATTAGGTTATTACAAATGCCATTGAGGAAAAATATAACATGCCAAGAAGGGAGATCTAACTTAGTCTCAGGATTTGGCAAAAACAGGTAAAACTGTTCCCTCAAATGATAGATAATTAAAGTAACAATCATATATTTTAAGAGCAAAGTGTTGGTTATATTTTTTTCTTTATCTTCAAAAATTTAAGTCTCATATCAGTGGATGTAATAAAGCTTAAAAAGATAGCAAACTGACCCTTAAGACATGTCACAAGAGTTGGATCATATTTTTGTGATTATCCAGTACTTTGTGATCACCCCCTTTAAATGGCCGCGTGTCTTTCTAGGTCTCAGGTTTGCTGGTGCTGAATTACAGCAATGACTACAACCACTGGCTGGCTACCAAGAGTCTGGGGCAATGGCTACAGGAAGAAAAGGTGAGAAATAGGATAGGGCATCCAACATCACCTATCGATGATTGGTGGGGTTTGTGGTAAGTTGGGACCATGTATCTAATTTAAAAGGGACAAACAGATGAGGCAGATAATGCAGTTTGGAATGTTTTTATTTTTATTTCAGAAGCCATTTCTCTTACTACACAGGCTGAGCTATCTGAACTTACTTTCTTCTAAAGCTGTACGATCACATATTTTCATTTTACCCACTAGGTGGCAGTCACACACGCTTGGTTGAATTTCTAATCCTGAAAAGGGGTTAGAGAAAATTTTAAAATTTTCTGTTCTCTCAAGCAACCTTTCCCTTCCCTTTTATTCAAGTCTCAGATATGCAACTTTTGTCTTGGGTGATAGTACTGGCTCTATCATTAACTAGCTGTCTGAATTTGTACAGGTTATATTATCACACCTTACTATTTTTATTTTTAATTCGTAATGAATATAAACAGATTATCATTGATTCTCTTTGGGCTTTCACATTATAATTGTATGGATACAGTGTAATCTCATTTGAAGTTATAAATAAAAGTTTTATAAACCGTAATTTATATTTTCTTATTTTAATTATTTTCTAATCAACTAAGAGGATTGTCCTGATTTGAATGTCAGACAAAGTGAATGGGCCTGCTATATATTTAGCTTCATATTCAATGTTGCTGTAGCTGCTTTTGGTTGACTTGATGCTGGCCCTGTGATTGACAGATTATTCTACTAAGCTCCACCTCTTCAATAAGCGTCTGCCTATTGGAGCCAAATGTTGCCTCTGTTTGACAAATACAAAGATCTCCATCCTGGCTTCCTTGTTCTCATTCTTTCTAACTATTAGAAGAGATAAGAAGGTGATATCTCCCAGGTCATTACTATGTTCTTCTCAACCATCTGAATTCATCTTTGTAATGGTCTTTTGGGAGACCCCCCACCTCCACCTCCACCCAACCTTTAATGTTTCCTTTGTGCTATTTAGGGAACTTGGGATTATAGCTGCTCTGTGTCAGAACTTCTAATTGAAATATAAGCTGCCATCCATGGCTTGTTAGCTTGTTGTATAAATGTGCTTTGACTCTTATTCCATGATCACAGACATGTAGAATAACGGAACTATAAAATAAAAACCAATTTATCTCTTTGAGGTAGAGGTGAGAAAATCAAACATCACTAAGATAATTGGTGGGAAAGAAAGACATTACAACTGGTTTTCCTGATTCCTGACTCATTGCTCCTTCGTTATACCACATCTGTTTCTAACCAGCTTAGTCAAAGAAAATAAAACAAATGGTGATGTTGCCTGATTTATTAAATAGATGGGCAAATTTTACTTGACAAGAATCTTCAGAATAACGTGTCGAGTGCCCACTATGTGACAGGGACATTTGACTCAAAACATGGATTTGTATATTATTTACAAGTTACTGCTTATGAAGTTCATAAATGTCATTACCTCAATGTGTGTGTGTGTGTGTGTGAGTGAGTGTGAGTGTGTGTGTAATATTATTTAACATCCTGTGCTAAGAGCAACAAAACTGTAGCAGAAGATTGATGTTCAGAATTTCTCATTTTTTATTCTGAGGACATGCCAGGGTATTAAGAATACTGTGCCCAACTAGAACAGCAATTTACCGTGTTCTGACAACACAGTTACCTGGGTCAGAAAAAAAGGAGTAAAAAATTTATTTACTGCTCAAAAAGATAGATGATGCTAAGTTTGTAACTTGAAAACAATATGCTGGATCTAATTCCCTCCAATTTCATTGTCACTACAATTTCTTTTATAGATCCCTGCAATCTATGGAGTGGATACAAGAATGCTGACTAAAATAATTCGGGATAAGGTATGGTCATCACCTTTAGCCAAATCTCTCTCTCTTTCTCTCTCTCTCCTATATATATATATATATATATATATATATATATATATATATATATATATACTTTTTCTCTGTACCTGAGGAACCCATTTGTATGTAAAAAAAATCTGGCCAATTTCTGCCATTTGGGTTTCTGTCCTTTTGTTTCCCTACCTCTGAAGTAGTTTTTGAGACTGAATACCTGATTGGGAAATTTGTTATTGAAGATTAATTCACTCAACAGTATTTTATTGAGTGCTTCGACAAGTCATGGCCTTTATAATTCATCTCAGAACCAGTGAAACAAATGAAGGTTATGAGGTACACAATAGTCTACCTAAATTAAACACCTCCATGCTGCAAATGCAAATCCAGATTTGTATGGCATCCGTATTATTTGTTTAGTCCTCTTGGAGAAGTCTGTGAAATCAGTGATTTATATTTCATGAGTGTGTCAGATGAGCCCTGCCTGTGTTAACTTGATTGTATAGTCTTTCTAGAGACTGTACCAATGCCTTAGGTGATATAACATGTAGGTTTATCTTTTGCTTTTATGTCTCATTGCTGAAAATCTGACCCTCCCTCTTAGAATATCTCCTCACCCTCAGCTTGCTTTTTCTTGTTATAAGGTGGACACTTCTTTTCTCCCCTGCATGAAACTTTACCTGAAGTTAACCGCATCCCCAAATGCCACTAAAGTGGTCTCATTGAATTGTTACATAAAAAAAAATAAGAAAAATAAAATTGACAATTTAGAAGTGAAAGATTCTTCAAGAAAATCTGTTGCAGATTTCTTGTTAGAATATATTGACACGGGATCTCTGTGAACAGAAAGAACAGCTTTGAAAATAAGAACATGGATACATACTCAGGACCAGAAGGATGAGAGTGGAATTTATGTGACCCTTTTACTCCATCTTTGATTTTTTTCCCCCCCTCCATCTTGATTTTCCTGAGAATAGATGTTAGTGTGGTTAAATTTATCAGTAGATTCTTGTGGGTTTTTGTTTGTTTTTGTTTTTGTTTTTGTTTTAACCCAGCGATATTATGGGAGCAGTAACCAACGATGAGACTACCAGAATAAAAAGGGAAATAAAATTGGGAAATTCAATTTGGGCTATAGAATTCCTATGTTGAATAAAATATAGTGAGCCCCATTAATTTGGAAAACAATTCACAAGACCATACTGTGTCCTTTGTGTTAGTTTAGGATGAACCCTTCTTTTATCAGAGGCAGTTAGGTTTTCAAAATTTGGCTGAAAAGGCTAGCTCAAAAAAATTGTAGTATTGCCTACTATATTTAATTTTAAGTTGTACTGGCACATATTAAAAATGTATACTGTAGCTTATGGTCTTTTACTCTTAGGTTGGGAAGTAAGATTGAATTTCATTCAGCATGTTTTAAGAAGGAAGTGATAACTGAAAACCAGATTTCAGTTTTTAAATTAAAGTTTCATAAATATGGTCAAGAGATTCTGTGATTTTGGATTTTAAAAGTAAATAAAGTCCATTATGAAAATTAATAACACAATGTGGAAGTGAAAGGTTATTTTTAGTTATTTCCGCTCCACCCCCCCAGAATTTGTGATAGCACTCTGATTTTAGTAATTACACAAATAACTATTATGTCTGAATGCTGTGCTGATACTTTCTACCCTCACTCACTTCCCAGTGACTTATTCCTTTAAGGAATAAATTTCGAGGGGAAAATAAAGACTTTCCTTTATTTTTTTTCAATGCAATAATTTCTTGGAGAAAGGCAAACCAATGAATTATTTTGACATCCCCCCAATAAAGTCTTACTTACTAAACATAATATGCCATTTTTCTTAATAGATCAAATTAGACTTACCAACAAATAAATAAATTTCATGACATAATATTAATGAGAAGAAAACATTTGTCATGTTCAAGCTTGCAAGGCTAATTCATGAAAGCTTCACAGAAGGCTAAACATTTTTTTTTTTTTAGTTCAGGCTCTTTGGAGCACCTAGACATTAGTATGTCTAAAGTAGTGACAATTTTCAATGCTACTTCTCAAAGTTTATGACTTATATAGCATTTCACATTTTTGTGAATTAATTTCACCTCACACTGTTTTAAATTCCCAATCATGTTAATTTTCTAAAAATCTTTAGGTTTCTTACATTTTTTTTCCTCAATAGATTATTTTGTTCATGTCTTCCATGAAAAACCGTTAGGTTAGATGCACTAAGGAACAGGTGCCCTAAATACTGGAAGCTGGAGACCCAAATTCTGATGCCTTTGACTTTGTTTACCCCGGAACATTGTCTCAGCCTAAAATAACTGATTGGACTTCTCAGAGTGGCTTCCAAATGTACTGTGAAAATCGCTTCCTCTCTCCAGGTTGAGATGAGGGTCTGCTGCTTTTGGTAGGAAGTAGTTATAAAGGCATCAAACTCTCAGAGCAGCTGTTTAAGTCCCCGTGAATTGATCCTGTCAGCACCTTCATCACCACTCCCTCCTAACTGTCTAACTTTTTAATTTGATAGGGCACCACGCTTGGGAAGATTGAATTTGAAGGTCAGTCTGTGAATTTTTCGGACCCAAATAAACAGAATTTGATTGCTGAGGTTTCAACCAAGGTGAGCAATTTTCTTTCAGATTTTGTAGTTCTGTTTTATTTCTGTTTTAGTTCTTCCTTTCTTATAATATCAAAATTTTCATTTAGCTCAAAAGAGTTGAGGGAGAAATAGGTCTTAAAGTAATTAAAAAATATATATATTCTAAAAACAGTGAGTTTAACGTTAGAAATTGTTTACTATTATTTTTAACTTTCTTTTTTTCTAGTTCCCCAGTTCAAAACTTGAACAATCTCAAATAAAGGAACTGTTGACTTGTCAGAGACAGGCATGGTGCCAACCAGAAGTCAGAGTACTGTCCTGACAGAGAGTTGAGAGCGCTTTAAAGAAATCAGATACAATAAACAGAGTCTGGGGTCATTTTGGGTAGGGGATAGTATTCCTTGAGACACTGAAGATTTATTGTATTATAGCTCAATTAAAAAACTAGTGTTCATAGTAATCACTGTGCCACTCTAAAGTCAGATATGTTTAGTGTATATTTATAAGAGGGTATAGAATACACTTTAGAAAGATGCCTGTTGAATGTGATGGAGTATTTATTAATGTAGGTATAGGTCTCTTGGGCTATAGGCTCTGTCCTTGGGACAGAGCTAATAGGACAGGCAAATGAGTAATCACCAGGGACAGAATTCTGTGGTAAATGCTGTCCTTAGAATGCACACAGTTTGCCACAGGAGCAGGGGCATGCATGGGGCAGCACTGAACTAGATAGCTGGATTAGGGAAGGCTCTGCCTAGGAGTTGGGTTTGTTCTGAGACATAAAGAGCAGGGGGTTAAATGGATGATCAGGAGAACTGCGTTTCAGGCACAGAAAATGGCATGCATAGAGGTATGCAACAACATGGTACCTTTGAAGAGTTATATGTTATTTGGTATGGTTAAACCAAAGGGTTCATGTATTTGGTTATAGATGAGTGGAGATGGTTAGGTCTAGAGGGTTTCTTGTCATTGATTAAGTCAACAAAACTGGAAACAATTGAGAACTCATTCTCAATGACTAGATAAAAGAGCAATTAACTAGGTTATTGTAGCTAACCAGGACAAATCCACAAGAGCCTGGGCTGAGCAATAATAGCAGAAAAAGAGACATTGAGGTGAATTAGACAAATGGAAGAAGGAGGCACTGGGTGTGACTTGATAAAAGATCAGCCTATTTTAACAGCAATTTCTACTAGCTTGAGCACAGTGATGTTTTCAATAGGAGTTTGAGATATCTGTGGCATTTGCTATGAAATTTTTTTAAAAGATGTACTTAAAATGTAAAGGGTTGATTGCTACTTTCTGTTTTACTACATAAAATAGGGGAGAAGGCAGAGTTTTCTTTCCTAGGAGTATGAATTTGGTTACCATTGAACTTTAAATGTGGAGAATTTGGACTAGTTGAAACCCTTTTGAAGTCATTACTATTGGCTGCCCTACATTGGAAATTATATTCACTATCGTAGAGATGGCTCTAAATGTCTCTTCCTTCATCACTGGGACAGCAAAGTGTCTCTCTTTTAAATTTTATTTTCAATAGAATTATTCACTGCAACAATTTATTCCTCTATACATCAAACGTACAGTTTCTTGAATAAGATAGCTCATAGTTATCGTGGTCTATTTAAAGAGGCAGTTTTTGTTTTAGAAAAAATACCACATTTTTTTTGAATACTCAGTTAATTCTTATTATACAACAAGAACAAATCACAACTCTGTTTGGCTGGTGTGGCTCAGTGGTTGAGCATTGACCTATGAACCAGAAGGTCATGGAATCATTCTCAGTCAGGTTACATGCCTTAGTTGCTGGTTCCATCCCCACCATTGATATATCTCTCTTCTCTCTCTCTCTCTCTCTCTCTCTCTCTCTCTCTCTCTCTCTCTCTCTCTCTCCCTCCCCCTGTCTCTCTCTCTCTCTTTCTCTCTCTCTCTCTCTCTCTCTCTCTCTCCCTCCCCCTGTCTCTCTCTCTCTCTTCTCCTCTCCTTCTTTCCTTTCCTTTCTGAAATCAATAAAAATATATATTAAAAAAAAACCCACCCAACTCTATTTCATGGCTGAGGAAACTGAAGGTATCAAGTAAATGAAATTTGCCAAGGTCTTTTTAGAGCTGGCCTAACTTGAACTCCAGTGACTCCTCATGCTTACCTCCTGCTATTTCTGCCTCTCATGTTGGTGTGCTTTGACTGAGATGTTTCCAGAAAGCACCATTTCCAGGATCCTATTACACGAATTTAAGAAGCTCTCTCAAGGCTCTTGATGACTTTTGTTTCTTCTTGACCCACATCTGGCAGGGTCAGGATATATTTGCATATTCTGCTCTTTTGCCTAGGATCTCTCTCTCTCTCTCTCTCTCTCTCTCTCTCTCTCTCTCTCTCTCTCTCTCTCTCTCTGTCTCTCATCCCTGCTTGCCTTCAAGAAGTCAGTTTCTCTGTGAAGCTCCCATGACTTATTCCACCTTTGTATTCCATGTCATTTTATAAATAGCTTTATTTAAAAAACTCACACCACATGGCATTTAGACTCTTACAAGAATTGTCTCTTTCACTTTTCTATGCTTAGCTGTGGGTTTTTAAATTCGATATATACTTGTTTATATCTCTGGAATGTGATCACGCCAGATGAGATATTCACTTTTTTTAATTTTAAAATTTGTCCATTCAAATGGCAAGAGGCTATATTCCTTGTATTTGTGTCTATGCATTTCCATGGGAGTTGATTTAGTTTGAGGTACAGCATGAGAAAGGGCTATTTTTCATTTTAGAATTTTAGGATTGAGAACTATGTTGGACATGTAGTCTATCATTTTTCAAACGTGAGGGATATTGGGCCTGGAGACATTCACCTTAAAAAATTTCTATGGTCAAACAAGGTTGAAAAACGCTGCATAATATATTTCTCCTGGCACATCCTAATGCAAATCCATATAGCCACATGTGAGGTCCTGGGTAACTTCTACCATTCTGTAGGGAGAGTATGTGACGTGTTGTGTAGAGATCAGTTAAAAGGAGCCTATGTGTATCTTCATATTAAACCAAGGGAGAGAGTGCCATGGTGAAAGCTGGCTCTGCTTAACGCCAGAACCATTAAATAATTTCACTCTACCTGTGGTAAATGTATATCTGTATCAAATCATATCTATTCTGTGATTTTTGCCTCTGTGTGGTTGATAACTTCATTCATCGTCTTGTACTTGCAATGTGATGTTGCTCCAACTAGATGTTAATGTTGTTTTGCTTTTTAGCAGAAGCCTAAGGTTAAGAATAAACCTATACTTTTTCAAATGATCTGATGAGAGAGATTATCTGAACATTTATGGAGCAGTTCAGCAATAATTCCTCCAGATCATAGATGGGCTGGGGTATTTTCTTCTCTAGAATAGTCAACAAGCCCCCCCAAAATATAAACTTTTTCTCAAATGTAGTCTAAGGATTATGACTTCACATTCAATAGACTTCATGGAGAGAGAGATATATATATTTCAGTGAAAGGAAAATGCTTTTTAAAATATCCAGATTGTAATTTTAATCTAAGACCTTTTGCAAACTTTGAATTATCCTACATTCAGATGTGCCAGCGACCTCTCAAAGCTGGTATCACTGTGGGCACCCCACCCTCTAGGCTTCTCTCCCTATTTCTATTGTTTTTCCTTTTATGACTGTGGGGCACTACTTCTCTGTTAAAAGCTTGTGAAAATGGATCTGACTCCATGAAGTGCTTAAGACATAGGTAATGATTATGTTATGCTTGGATCCTTTCCTGAAGTCTACCATTTACATGCAAACAATTGCACAGTAAGCCAGAGGGACTAGTGGTCTGCACTAGCCCAGCAATTCTTCAGACTCTCATACATTGGTCCAGCTGCATAAGCCTAGTGCTGTGCCCTATCCTATAGTCACTTTACTGCAAGTTGAGGATCAAGTGGTATTTAAAGCATGATATGCCTATTACCACATCTGTCTAGTGCCGAATTGGGCAATGGAATTGAAAATTCCATTGCTTCTGTTTGTCAGTGAGGTAAAACATGGGAAAGATGGTTGTTAACTATGGAAGCAACCAGTTTCTTAGGGATCATTGTTATTACTGTAATCAAAATTTTATATAACATAGCAAAGTACTTTTTTCTTTATCATAAAAAGGATACACACTGTAGCACTTGCTGTGTCTTTCTTACAAATTGATTAATTGCCAGTCATTCCCAAATACTTAGCAATCAATCTGCCGCCAATCTAAGTGTGAAGCATCCTCAGATATGCTTACGATATTGATGTGTTGCTCATATCTGGAACTTCCCTCTCACTCTTTGGTTTTTAAAATGGCAGGATGTCAAGGTGTTTGGCAAAGGAAACCCCACAAAAGTGGTAGCTGTAGACTGTGGGATAAAGAACAATGTAATCCGCCTCCTTGTAAAGGTAAGTAAATCATTCCATCTCAAGGGTAAGGATTTGTAATATTGATCCTTTAGTGTTAAGCTGATTTCCTCTATCTGTCTCAGAGAAAGCTTGTGCATTTTTTTTTCTAGAATGTCAGGAAACTGCTCCTTCTAGTTGCCTTTGATCTACAAAACGATACACTTATCCCTGTTAAAATGAGAGAAGTGGACTATGTTTAAAAAAAAATCTCAAAGGACACAAAAACAGAGAAGAAAAGGATTACTGCTTTTATCACTTATTAACTGACATTCCAAGACATACCATGTTCACATTCTTGAGTTTAGAGATAAAAACAGCAACAAAAAACTAGACTCAGTTGGAGAACTTCTCTATGGGGCTGTATTTATTGTGCACCACATGTATGCAGAGGTCATGCCCTGATACAGTGCAAACTTTCATGCTGTGTTATATCAACTCTTGGACAACCATTAATATTGTACCTTAAAAATCCTTTAGGAGACTTTAACTATAATTACAGTGTTTTCTTACGGACTTGCTTTTTGTTGGGATTTCTCCTACTCCACCTTTTTTTCCTAGTCTCTGTTTCTGCCTCTCTGAGTAATTCTCTGTCTCTGTTATGCACGCGCGTGCGCGCAGACACACACACACACACACACACACACACACACACACACACACACGCATGCACAGATATATGTGCATAATATCAAATTAGCTTGAGTATAGCAGAATTCTTCAATTCTTTGTTAGAGAATATCAAAGGTGTCCAAATCATGATTTCAAATCCTGGTCAAGTTTAGTAACAAAAATGTGCATGGACTCTTCAGCAGCAGATGCTGTGGATGGTCTGTCCATAGCTCCCTCTCCTTTCAGCATTTTGCCTGCCTTCCAATTGCAAGTGTCTGCATCTCATTGACCGAGGGCTCTCTTTGGTTGGCCGGCGACCGCTGGCATGCTGAGTGCCATAGAACTAATGACCTTGCTTCAGCCCCAACCAATGGCTAGAGAGGGCCATTGTGTAAACATCCCAGCTCCTTTGCTCCATAGTGGGGCTGTCTTCAAGATGGATAGTCTTATACTGGCGCTCAGAGTCCCTTGGTGGGCCGAGGCTCTGGTTGTCCATATGGTAACTGCTTGAGGATGCATACTTGATTGGAATGCCTCCCGGTGTCATTTCCTAATGATATTTCTTGGAAACATTTCAAAAATAACCTTTTTTTTCTTCTTTTCAAATCCTTGCCTCAGGAAATGTGTCTAGGAAACCTTCAAAGATACCTTCTTCTTTATATTTATGTAGGAAAGTTCTAACTTTTCAATCAGCATATAAACACAGGTAATAGGAGAAAACCCAGGAAAGAAGGCTGATTAAAATTTGATCAGACAAAAAAAAAAAAAAAAAAAAAAAGGGCAACATTGAAAAAGGTGGAAGGTGAGCCATCTTAAGTTTTGCAGAAAATCAATTTACCACTTTTTGGCAACCCTTTATCCCATAATTCTAGGTAGGATATTCCTGTATTCCTGTGTGCCCAAGCATGAAGCTTTTAGGCTCTATTTTTTTCAGGATCACATTTTTAATAGTGTTTTATTCTCCACATTTACATCACACAAAAAACACCGATGCTTTATTTATTTGAGCTTTATTTATTTGAATCACATGCTATTTTTTTTCTTTCCTTTTAAGGAATGCTTAGTCAAGAGAAGGTTTAGTGAAATCACATTTTGGTAAAAAAAAAAAAGTTATTAAATTCTGATCATTCTTGTTTTCCCTTTCTAGCGAGGAGCCGAAGTGCATTTAGTTCCCTGGAATCATGATTTCACCAAGATGGAGTACGATGGGCTTTTAATTGCTGGAGGACCTGGAAACCCAGCTCTCGCACAACCACTAATTCAGAATGTGAAAAAGGTGTGGTAAGCCTGGGGGTTAGTGTGTATCCATGTGCAAAGTGGAGGGAGTCTGGTCTGTGGCGGCTCTCAGCTGCAATATATTTTATTTATTCAGACATTTTGTATTACTCCCTACTTGTGACCTCAGAGGTAATGTCAGCACAGATCTGTATTAGGGCAAACCAATGAGGAAAAAGAGCCTTTTTTTAGATAAAGTCACTGGGATTGTGTCCTTGAGTTCAGAGAACTGGAGCCCAATCTCCAAATGTGTCATTCCTTACCATCGTGAAATGACAATTTATGTTCCTCACCATGACCTTGGGAACTATAACACACTCAAGTTTCTAAAGAAAGACTAAATTAGATTTATTTTAATCTGTAGGTTAAGTACATTGTATTGTGCTCTAACGCTATAAATTTGTCAATCATGTTCTGATTTATAATCTAACTTTTTATTCAATGATCATTCTCTTTACCTTGTTAATTAAGAGGAAAAAAGGATGCTTCCTTTTTATTCCTGGAAAGGCACTTTTTTGGGGGACTGTACTTTTGGGTTAATAAAAATTCTTCCTGATTTAGATTTTGGAGAGTGACCGCAAGGAGCCATTGTTTGGAATCAGCACAGGAAATTTAATCATCGGATTAGCTGCTGGTGCCAAGTCCTACAAGATGCCCATGGCTAACCGGTAAGGCAGTTACCCGTTGTTTACCGTTAGACTAGCTGTATATTAGTAACTAAATCCAAAAGACTTAGAGACCTTCCATGCTACTTTCTTCAGAATAAATAGATAACCATATATGGTTCACAGTTGTCCGACTACCTGATACCACTTTCATTGCTTGTGTGAAAGGCAGCCTTCTCTAACAATAACTTAGCTATAGTTTAAAGTTATTTTCCTTCCCCCGGCATAAATTGAGGTTATGATACTCAATCAAATGGCATTCTAAGGAAACTGTTTCGATTTTAAACTTGATTTCAGAGCACTGATAACATCGTAAGGCTGGGTGACTTAAGAATCAAGAAATCTTCAAGTTCTCTAGGTTTTACTTTCTTACCCCAATAATGTTAACCCATTGAACGTGGAGCTGTCCCTCATGGACCACCTTCCACAGGAAGTATAATTCAGATTGATTCCAGACTGAATAGTTTCTTTTTATTATCTCCTGTGAACTCTCATCTGCCTTGACAGTTACTATGGCTCCTTAAAATAAGTTGCTTACATTTGTCAGTCTCTGTTAAGCTGGTAGGCAACTCATAACTTCATTGTATGAATGAAATTCTCCCTTTCCTCAAACTTATTACAGAAGTTTAATATACATGATATTTAACACACAATGAAGCTTCTTGAATTTATTTTTGTTGCTAGAATTATTGGGATCAACAATCTGTGATTTTTTCTTACTATTATAAGTAATTGAATCTTTCGAATTTTAATAGTCTTTTTTTGTTTGCTATTTTACAATGAATGTGTTTATATTCTCCTCACTTTTCCTTCTCCTTCCTTTTTTTCTCCAGAGGGCAGAATCAGCCTGTTTTGAATGTGACAAATAGACAGGCTTTCATTACCGCTCAGAATCATGGTTATGCCCTGGAAAACACCCTTCCTGCTGGCTGGAAACCACTTTTTACAAATGTCAATGATCAAACCAATGAGGTAAGTTGGGCATGAGACATGCAGAGCTTTTAATACTCTGTTATACAGATACCTTTCTCTTGTTTATGTGAGCTTTTTTTTGGGGGGGGGGTGTGGGGAAGAACTCTACTTATAGGAGTTCATAGCCCTTTGCTTTTCCAGAAGTAATTTTTCTGTCTTATTTTCTCATCAGTTGACTCATTAAGACCCATTCGTTGAGTGGTTAATCAATGACTGTCTTGCACATTCATTGCTAATGGGGCTTTGGTAGAGATCTGTTGAAACCACTCTGGGTGTCTCTGGGACTAAGCACATGAAGTAGCCTTTGAGAAGACCCTGGAGAAGCATTTAGGAGCTGAAGATCAGAAGTGGATTTGGGTGTATTCTGAACAGAGCTTTGAGGGGTCCCGAAGGCTATAAACCAAATCTGTTGTTTTCATTAAGGGGAACTACATTTGGTTGAATCTTTGTTGGATCATTTTTATTAGTACTGTTAGTTTTTTTCTAATGTCTTTAAGCATTTACCTCAGTTTTTTTTATTTGAATAATACATAGCCTTGGTTGGCATCCATTGTTTCAGAAGACATTTCTCCCATTTCTCGTTCCTTAGGGGATTATGCATGAAAGCAAACCCTTTTTCGGTGTGCAGTTCCACCCTGAGGTCAGCCCAGGGCCAACGGACACTGAGGTATGTTAGAAAGATGAGGCCTGTTGTAGAATCAAGTTTTAAACTTAAAATGTATTTATGTGAAAAATCGAGCAACCAAAATAATCACCTTAGATGATCTTGTTACAGAACATTCTCAAGAACGTGTTGTAATAATATGCTCAATGTATCAAAATTTCCCCATAAAGGAAGTCTCTGTCTTTTTTTTTTTTTTTTAATTTAAAGTGAGGTATCCCTTAAGACACCTGATGCAATCCTATTTTTATTTAAATTATCATTCTGATATATTTAGTTCTAAAATTTACAATTGTTATCCTATGCAAATGAATTTCCCCTTGCTCTCTTATTTTCATAACTGAAATGAAATTTTAATCCCCCATCTGTGACTTCACAAAATCTCTATGGCAACTGGCTGTGTAGCCATATAGGGAGAATAAGGGCAGCAGTGTAAGGAGAGAAGAGAGCATATACCAACATGCATATGAGTTGGATGGCTTAAGAAAAGAACCATGAAGAATTCTTAGAGATGTTTTGTTTGTAATACAAACATCTCTACTTTTATTGTGTGAGCTTTTGGTTCAATGTTCAAGGACATCTTTGCAAAACAAAAGCTTGCAGTGATACTCAGAAAAGTCTGGGAAGTGTGGTGTGACTGCATCTCTCACATCCCAGGGCCTCCAATAGTAATGCTGAGGATTCTTCCCTTGTTAGCAGATACTCTCAGAAAAGACATCTAGACAAAATGAGGGAGAGAATAAAAGTTTTCTGTCTATAAACTCTACTACCTTATCTAGTCTACTACTGAATTGTGTTTTCAGATTTGGGTTTCCCCCCCCCCTTGTTTTATTATAGTTAATAAATAATGGCTCTTGATAGCCAAAGTCAATATAGCATTACTTACCCACAATAAAACTCATAAATTAAAGTGACTTAATATGCACACATATTGTCTAATGCATAATACTTAAGAATTTAAAATATAAATATTGCTTATGCTAGTACTTCAAATTAGGAACATTGAAATCAAGATATGTAATATCCAGTGTCACTTAATCCTCATTTTTATCCTGCTAGTTGCAAAATGAATATTTTTGTTGAAATTTCTTATGTCTGTTGCAAAAAGTAAATTTATTGGTAAAGTTTAAGAATAATCTTTAGAGATATTTTTAGAGCTGATAGAAATTTTAAAAATCCAGTTATTTCTTACATTAGGGAGCATAAGGAATATAGCATAAGTAATTATAGCCAGAATTTTACTTAGAGGAAGAAACTGATTCATCATTAAAAGGCTGTTAACTTGATATTCTCTGAAGGTATTATCTGAAATGTTCATTGTCTGCTGAAAAAATTTTTAAATAGGATGTCACTTAAGCAGTTAGAAGTGTTTATTTGATCTAATTTCTATAGTAATAAACATTTAGTTTTGCCAGAATTGGCAAGCAAACAAACAAAAACAAATATTGCATAGAAATACATACCCTAAAACTTATTTATCTAAAGTTCATTTTAAGTGGGAATACTGTTTTTTATCTGCCAACTCTGCGAATTTTGAAGCTTCTAACTGGTTGGTTACATTTTTTTTCCTAGTATCTGTTTGATTCATTTTTCTCACTGATAAAGAAGGGGAAAGGAACCACTGTTACATCGGTTCTACCAAAGCCAGCCCTGGTTGCATCTCGGATTGAGGTCAGTATGTGTGGGCTTTTTTTTGGTTTTATGTATTTTGGATTTTCTCTACCATGAAATGATATATTTAGGTTAATATGTAAACTTTTCTAATGTTTATGAAAGAGGATTGGTTTTATTGTAATCTCCCATCATTTTAAACATTTAACTATTTGGTCTTTGTTGATTATGTTCTTTGGCATTTTCATGTTTAGAATTAAAGTCACATCTTTGAAAGTTTAATTCTTCTAGGATGTTTGTAATAAAATAACGTAGTAAACAATAGGAGTTCATTTACTTAGAATTGGATACATTTTTTCATTACTCAATAAACCTTAGCATTACATATGCTTGAGATACATAGTTCAGACTACAGAAGTGTTATAGGTGATATAATTTTTTCTGTTTTTAAAAGGATTATTACTCAATATCATGACTTGAATATTATTTACCTTTAGAAAGCAAATGGATAAGAATTAATATAAGACTTGAACTCTTATCTGTTTGAACATGTACATTAATATAAGATCTCTACCATTTCTTTTATTAAATGGGTAGAGATCTTATATTAAGATCACATTAAGATCATACATATTATTTTGCAAAATTTAGAGCGATATATATATATTTAGATTACAAACAAAAATAATCGATTTATATGTTTACATGAAATAAGTTAAGTTAGATAGTTTAATGATTTCCATGACAACTTTTTATATTTTGAGATGAAAGGATTGGCCATAATCTAGCCTCTCAATGTGGAGTCAAAGTGTGGGTTCTCGGGGAATGAAAGAAGCCACACACCAATAGCATTTTTCTCAGACTATCAACTTGTCCTCAGATGCTTTTCTTTTTTTTAAATGGTGAAAGAAATGTATAATTTGGTATTTCAATGACTTGCATATAGTAGGTGCCCAATAAATATTTGTTGAAGCAAATCAAGTTTCTGAAGCCAATGTCCCCTACAGTAACCAAGAACATCGTTCTCTTCTGAAGGGCTTGGCAGTTTAGGAAGATCCAGAAGCCTTTCTGTTTTTGTGCCAATCCTTTGTTCAGAACAAACCTGTGAAATATTGAATGTAATACACTTAATTAAATTTGGGGAGATTTTTAATCTAAAAATATACATATATGTATACATATGTGTGCCTATTTCCTAATATTAATAATAAAAAAACAATGTTTTGTTTGTTTTTAAATTGCTTGCAGGTTTCCAAAGTCCTTATCCTAGGATCCGGAGGTCTGTCCATTGGTCAGGCAGGTGAATTTGATTACTCAGGATCGCAAGCTGTAAAAGCCATGAAGGTGAGAGAATATGATCTTTGCAGAATTTATATACACCCTTTAATGAGTCTAATTAGTATTGCATAATTTAGATATATGACACTACCTCTTTTCAAGGTCACTATAATTAATCTCCTTACCTATTCCTTAAACATCTTTTATTAAAGGAAGTTTGATCACAGTCAAGATATTTACTTTCTCCAATGTGCATACCTAAACAGTAATTTAGATTGGTCTTTAAAATTATCTACATTATCTCCTATTTACAATTAAAACATAGAAAGCCACACTTATAGATGTTTCTCATTTCTTTTGAGGTAGTGAGCTTTTTGCCTTTCGTATGAATTTAGACATCCTTGGTAATCTAAAAATCCTTCAGTGTTCTTTGGATGTCTCAGGCATTTCTGTGGTTGAAATGGGAAGATCTAGTTGGAGAAGCAGTGCCTTTTGTTCAAGCTCTAGAAGCTACCATCTGTCATTAGGGAACCCAGTTGTCCCACCTGTGTGATTTGGAATGGATGTCCTACCAGGATGGTTTGGTTGCATTTTCAGGTGGAAAAGAGGATTTGATACCCAAGTTGGGAAGAACATCCTCCCTATTACCTCAAAGTCTCTTGAGATCTTCCCAATTCTTACCTAGTAAATAAAACTAGAAAAATTACACTGTACACGAAAGGTATTTCTATGAAAGAGCTAACTAGGCTTCTTTTTAGTGTCCTTATTTCCCTGGATAGTCCCCGTTTGAATTCTCATCAGGCGATGGGGAGGAACGGTGAGCTCTCTGTGACTCTGCCTTAGGCTTTGCAGTGTAAAGCCATTGACCAGAGAGCTGGCTAGGAGAGAAGGACATAGGGAAGGCAGCAGGAGACTCAGACAACAAGCATAGGGAATAGTTGGCTTTTTTTAAATTTACTTTTTATTTTACTTAATATTCTATATACAGAGATTTTCACTTGACAGATGCCTGATAAAAAACAGCCCCCAATTACCTCAATCTTCTTCCCATTTGTTCTCAATACTCTCCTCCATACACACATGGGTGTTCATACATATGCACACATGTTTTCTATGTATACCTTAAAATACTTTATTGTATTATGATTCAATTGATCTTTAGATAGATAGTGGATGTCCAATGGTTTAGATTGATTAGAACACAATCCAAGTGTGTTCTGGATTTAGAACACATTTTACTAGCAAACTTTTTTTTTAAAGCCTATTTGGTAGTTTTATGAATAATTAATATTTTCATGGCTTATATTTTTTATGTGCTTTAACATCCATAATGTGAAGATATTTAAATAATAGGAATTATTACATATTGTATTATGATTAATTAGGAAGTTAATAGAGATAAATTTATAAACCAAATATTTAAAAATAATTAAATTGTGCGTGTATTATAGCCAGAATTATATTAGAAAATATAGTTACATCATTAGAAAATGATGTAAAATCTATTAAAATTGTTTGAAATTATTCTTAAGTTGTAAAATGAATACCCATCACATGCACATATGAAACTTTTACCATATAATTTTATTTATAAAAATACCTATATTCATCATATTGTCCATTCAGGAAAGTACAAATAAATTTAGGCCTGTTGGTATTTTTCTGAAGTAGCAAGACCTTGTACAACCTCTTTTAATGATCTAATCTCAGTTTAGACCCAATTACTTATACTCTAACCCATATTTTTAAATGAAATTGCTTATCTGTATGTATCTATTTAATACTTTGCTAATACACCCAATAATCTTTTTAGAGTAATTCCTTAAAATCTTGAGAGATGACTGGTATTGCAGTAGGGCTTAAGACTTGAATCATGAGTTGAATCAAGTTTTAATTCTGGATCTTTCCAGCGATATGATCTTTGGCAAGTTATTTATTGCATCTCATTGTTTTTATCTGTAAGGTGAAAATTTCTCTTGTAGTATTGGTTTAAAAATCAAGTAAGTTAGTAAAAAATACAAGTTTTAAGGCACTATTTGAATTTAAAATAGCATGAGGTATATTTAATTTTTTATTCAGATTTCCCCTCTAGGATGTGTAGGCCTTTGAAAATGATTTCTATACTTTCAGCTGAATATTTTGTTGACTTTTTAGAAGCGTTCAAAATTGATATGCTAATAGGTAAAATAAGAACCATCTGGCCATATTTTATAATCATTATTTTTGCTAAGTTTCACACTCATCCTGGTTTATGAAGTTATTATTCTTAGTAGCCTACATGAACAATTATTTTGGTGGTCTCTCCAGATGTCAAGACTGAAATATGCTATGAATACCTTCAGACACACACATACACACACATATATTTCTATTTTATTTTGCCATATGGTCATTTTCTTTTTATATAATATGTATAAACAGTTGTATAATGCTCTTTGTTAAAGCACTACAGCAAGCACGAAAATATAAAGAAAACAGAAGCCAGCAGAAGGCTCTCAGTGCTTCTAGCAAGAAGAAAACACATTACCGTGCATTTTAAATGTGCACCAATGTTCTCCGACAAACATTAGAAAGGGAAGCAGCTTTGATGTTGCCTCCAGTTCCATTTTATGGTTTACTCATTAAAATTTTTGGAATATTATGTTCTTTTAAGGAGATTGAACTGTAAAGTTCAGTAGTACTCAATGTTGATGATAGGGTCTTGGAAGCTGTGGCTTTGAGCAAAACAATGTATAAGGAAACCAATTTTACCCTAGGCTAAACGATATAAGCAAGAGTTAAGTTCCTATGGAATTTTTCTGGCCACCAAAATGATTACCAAACTTATAAAGATCCTGAATACTTCTAATATTAAACATTGGAATAAATGTGAGAAATTTAAGAAAGATGAATGAAAACAAGTAAGAGGATTATTTCCCAATCCTCTGTCCACTTCAGGGTCTTGGGTGGCTAGAGCCTCTCTCAGCAGCTCAGGGTACAGACAGGACCCTCCTCAGATAGAAGGCCCTTCCATTGAAGGGTGAAGTCACATCCACACACACTCCCGCCAGTTCATCTCACCGCACATCTTTGTGATGTGGGAGGAATCCGGAGCACCTGGAAAAAACCCATGCAGACATGGCCAAACATGCAAAATCCACACAGACAGTGGCCCCATCCAGGAACTGACACCCCCCCCCCCCAGTAATGTTATAACAAAATGATTTGAAAAAACCAGCTATATTTGTGGATGTCTGGTCAAACTCTATAGAAATAATTTTTATATTTGATAGCTTCAGTGGCAAGAAATTCAGGATGATCTTTATGAGGAGGCAATTCTTTTTGCATAGTTTTTATTTTCACTCAGTTTCTTCTTTCCTTTCACCAAATGTTTGTTTCTCTCTAACTTCCATTCACTCACTCACTCATTCTCTCATTCATTACCTAATCCATTAATCTATTCATTACCTAATAATGCCCGTCATTGAAATATGGCCATTCTCTTCTTTAGACTGTGTATTCAGTAGATTCTGGATCCTTTTGTTTCAGGAAGAAAATGTCAGAACTGTCCTGATGAACCCAAACATCGCATCCGTACAGACCAACGAAGTGGGCTTAAAACAAGCAGATAGTGTCTACTTTCTCCCCATCACCCCCCAGTTTGTCACAGAGGTCATCAAGGCGGAACGGCCAGATGGGTTAATTCTGGGCATGGGTGGCCAGACAGCTCTGAACTGTGGTGAGTTCTTTTTAGTTTAATTGTAGGATTTGGGTACATGCACTTATGTGTATGTAATACTTTTTTGCTTGATTTGACCTACCAATTTATAAAGATTTCCTCTAATGTGTGAGGAAGCAGCAAATAGCCACCTGAGAATGTCATATGATAAACAGGACATCAGAGGAACACAAAGAAACCTTTTGCTTTAATGCTCCAGAGTGGCCAAGTAGGTTTCTTGGGTCTCCATCTTTATCCCAGGATATTGCTGCTCTCTGATACTAGTGATATTCCGAGAACTATTAGGAAGGAAAAATGAGAATTAACATTGATAAGTTCCTTGTATCCTATGTCTCAGCTAATTCAGGTATATCTTCATGATAATCTAGATCAGTCTCTCTACCTTCCCTTCATTTATCTGCCGAGTCCAATGCTCTGTCCTCTTTAAAATGCTTCAAACCTTTGGAACTAGATTGTGAATGAGGATATCATTAGCTACTTGGGGTAAGGAGTTAGTGATGTAATTAAATATAAAACACTTAGCTAAGGTTAGCTAGCGAGTTAGTGAAAACAAACAATTTTGGTAATTTTTAATCCATATCCCTGGGCTTATTTAAATCTCATTATAAGGATGGACCTTAGAATGGAAGGAACTATACTAAAGTCTCAAGGCTCACTATGATTCTGTGATTTTTGTTAGTGACAATAATAAAAAACCATTTGAAGAAAGTGGTAATATAAGGAACAGTTACATCAGCAGAATATTTTGTTAGAATGTCTTCAGAATTATCAATTCAAATTGTTTTTACCTTAAATACAATTCTATTTTGTATTGTGGTGGCTTATTTTTTTTTTAATTGATTTTTTACATAGAGGCAGGTAGAGGGATAGAGAGCTAGAAATATCGATGAGAGAGAAATATCAATCAGCTGCCTCCTGCACACCCCCCACTGGGGATGTGCCCACACCAAGGTACATGCCCTTGACCGGAATTGAACCGGGACCTTCCAGTCCGCAGGCTGATGCTCTATCCACTGAGCCAAACCAGTTTCAGCTGTGGTGGCTTCTTGAAGTTAATGTCAAGATTTAAAAAATGGTATTGAAGAAGACAAAAGTTTAAGATGAAATAATAACAGATTGTATTTTATTCTTCTGTAGGAGTGGAACTATTTAAGAGAGGTGTGCTCAAGGAATATGGCGTGAAGGTCCTGGGGACCTCAGTGGAATCCATCATGGCCACAGAAGACAGGCAGCTGTTCTCAGATAAACTAAATGAGATTAATGAAAAGATTGCTCCGAGCTTTGCCGTGGAGTCGGTAAGAAACCTTTGTTTTGGAGTGAATAGGCTATTGTCTGTTTTGGTTGTAGGGAGAATGTTTATCATTTCTAGAAAGAAAAGTTACAATTATTATACTTGCATATATGTTCTTCCAGAAATGTATTAGTACCTCAGCGATATTGTTTAGTTAAAAATACATATATTTTAATTGATTTTAGAGAGTCAAGGAGAAGGAGAGAGAGAGAGATAGAAACATCAATGATGAAAGAGAATCATTGATTGGCTATCTCCTGCATACTTACCACCAGGAATTGAGCCTGCAATTCAGGCATGTGCCCTGATGGGAATTGAACCATGACCACTGAGCCATGCAGGTCCAGCAAGATATTGTGTATTAATTGCAGCATTCAATGCTCAAAGTTCAGAGTTACGTATTACTATTTTATTTTATGAAAAGAGAAGCATAAATCAAGAAAAGTATTTTTTATCAATGCCGCTGAATCTCAAATCTCCTGAATTAAAACTAAGCACCATACTAACTTGCATTGCCAAAGTAATTTTTACCTTCTTCCCACGATCAGTGACGCATCTTGTACTTGCAGATGACCTGCAAATGGAAAAATCACTAAATTTAAAATTTCTTATTAAAATGGAATAAACATTTTAAAATGAGATTATTAAGATAAAAAAGCCATTGGATCTTATTAGTAAGATTTATGACTGAGAAATCCATGGCTTAGAGGTTGAAAGAGGACACATTATATTGCATTTCTATTAACCATTTTCCATCAAATCCTGTGTTATATAATGGGCATGGAGAAAAAAATCAGCTTTCTATACATCTGTTTTTGCCCCTGACTTTAGCCTTATTTCCACATATAGTCAGTGGAGTGGTGGTGCTGGATGCAGTTTTTGATGCAACTTCCCCATTGAAGAAATAGGCAAGTCCTTAGGGATGAGGGGAGTACAGCTGGACCGACAAATTATGGGTCGTGCATGTTTCAGAGAAGAGTGCTGTCAAGTACGTGCTATGTTACAACGCTGTCAATCAGGAATAATCCCAGGACAGCTCTGCTGAGCATTTGGAAAGCTGCTGCCATCCATTCATTCTTTCATTGCCAGATTTAATTATGTCCTTGCTTCCTCAGGATGAGAAGCAGGCATATGGGAAAGGTGTAATTACATTCCCATTGGTAGTGTAATAATATTCCATGACAGAAAAATATAGCCATCATGTGTTGTATTTTGTAAGTTATAAAAAAGCATTCCAAGCGTTTGGGACTGCTCTCTGACTGAACTTGAAAAATAAAAAAATTTCTCTATATAATATTCCTAATGGCTTATTGCAGTAATATCAAGTTAGTTTCAGCAACAGAAAACCTTGTTTCATTAAAAGATGGAGACTTTTAAGCTGAATAAAAAATTCAATATGGTTTCTATTCTCAAATTAATGATGGATATTTTAGTTTGGGCCATTGCTTTATGCTTTATGCTTTTTTTTTTAATTTAACATGCAAAAATAAAATTCACCACAAAGACATTAAAAAGGGTCTTCACTGTATACTGAAATAATCCTAGAATTTTACTCAAAAATTGTAAAACACTTGCTTTTTACAAGGAGATGAGGGAATAATAGAACATTTCCATAGTCATTCCCCTCAAATAAACTGATCTACTTGAATCGCCAGACTCTTTTGGAATGTTTGTTTCTGCTGGTGTGGTCAGCTTTTATACCCTGAGTTCTTGTTCTTGTTGACAGATTGAGGATGCACTGAAGGCAGCAGACTCCATTGGCTACCCAGTGATGATCCGCTCTGCCTACGCCCTGGGTGGGCTAGGCTCAGGCATCTGTCCTAATAAGGAGACCTTGGTGGACCTCAGCACAAAGGTATGTGTCTTCACTGACCATCTTCACAATCAAGACACTGATGGGACATGCCCTTTCCATTAGAGAAAGTTATGTAGACAAAAATAACCTTTCCCCCCCCATTAAGTAAATCACTGTTGTGTGCTCTAAAAGTGTTGTCCAAAATTCAACTCCCTCAAAAAGGAAATGCAGTATAATTATTTATATTGGAACAGAGTGTTAAGCCAGATAGTCCTAAGTAAACTGGTGATGACTCTACATAAAGGTCAATCTTTATTTTCCTATCTATGGATTTCAGTGTTATCAAGTCAATCCATTTCTACCTTCCTCTGCTTCATAGTTTGTTCCAAAACATCCATAATGCTAAAATATATTAAAATATATTTCAGTAGTTAAAAAAAACTACCCTGTTTCCCCGAAAATAAGACAGTGTCTTATATTAATTTTTTCTCCCAAAGTTGCGCTAGGTCTTATTTTCAGGGGATGTCTTATCTTTCCATGCGCTAGGTCTTATTTTCAGAGGATGTCTTATTTTCGGGAAACACGGTAGAATATAATGTTCCATTATTTTTTGAAATAATATCACATGAATGACATCCACTAAGTGAAACCACACACATTGACTAGTTTAACTTGACCTCAAACTCAGCTGTTTAATGTATATATAGTATAAACACAAGTTAGCTCTCTGCCAACAAACATAGACATATGGGCATAAGTAAAAGTGAGATTTGAGTATTTATAATTTATTACTATCAAAATGACTTTAACATATTACTGAATACTTATTTTCTTAAGTATTGGAAGGCAAATCTGGAGAAAATTAAGATGTGTCCAAAAAATAAAGTAGAGATGGACAAGAAAACATGCTTTATGAAAGCAGAGTTTTGCCCACACTCTATTTCCTCAGAGTTTTTTTTTAAAAATATATTTTATTGATTTTGTAAAGAGAGGAAGGGAGATAGAGAGTTAGAAACATCGATGAGAGTCATCAATCAGCTGCCTCTTGCACACCCCCTACTGGGGATGTGCCCGCAACCAAGGTACATGCCCTTGACCGGAATGGAACCCAGGACCCTTCAGTCCCCAAGCCGATGCTCTATCCATTGAGCCAAACCTGTCCCGGCTCCCTCAGAGTTTTGTCCTCACTCTATTCCCAGCAGTTTCTGGCAGTCCTAGGGGCTTGTTGAATGCATGTGTGTGCAGCCAAAGGGCCATGTAACTTACATAACAGTCATGCAGGAGTGTCTTTGTGAAGAGAGTTTTGGGGAGAGCTGAGTAAAGAGCCCAATCACAGCTTTTAGCTTTATCATTACTTTTAGAGTGAAACAAAATGAGGCCCTTCAATTGTTGATGAAGGGCTTTGAGGAAAAAAATAAGTAAAATTAAATATACTCAAATAACTATAATGACAAATGTAGTTGTCAACAACTTGGATTTAGATTTTCTAAAGTTGCCAAGATGAACCAATAAAAGGGAAACATATCTAATATAAATATTTCTTGTTTCCATTCTGGAGTTCTGAATCATGTATTTAAAGAAAAAACATGTTTATGAACATAAATCATATTTTCCTCTCTAGCATATTAGATATCTCCAATGTTCTTAATATTAAAAATCTTATTATTAATGCCAATAGTTACAATACTTATTTGTGCTCTGTTAAAAATATATACTTTTTACAGTACAAAAGCCTCTTGAATACTGAATTGTCTAATAATGTTTACTAACGAAGACAATTTTGGACTGGGATACTTTTTATTCATATTCATATTACTCTAAAATAATCAGTAGGCTATTGAATGATTTTCTTTGATAAAAACCTTGCCTTTCTCTTGAGAATAACTACTGTTATCATTATATCTTAAAGTACCCCTATTCTCTTGAGGTGATAATTAGCACCATTAGAAACTGCATTAACTCATCTGAGTCGCTAAGTCAAGATTTTGTATAAAATCTGAGATTTGAAAGGGGGAAAAAAGGATCGAGGCAACAGATGAATATGATGTAAATGGTCCCTGTGCCCAAATATTTAGTCTACTTCATTAGCATGCAGAAAGCTTTCCCAATTTCACACGCTTTCCTTCCCAGATTTTTTCTTTTAGCAGGCAATTCTAACAACAAATTAATCATTATTAAATTGTTAGCGCTGGCTACAGAAATTCCTAACCACTTTGAAAACCTCATCATGGGCAGCTGTGTGGATAGGGGGTTCCAGCTTCAATTGCACATTCTGGAGCCAATGGTGTTGACTGAGGTCAAAATAATAGTGTGGAGACCCATTATGGACAAACTTACATTGAGTTATTTCATTTTACTGCCTGCTAATAACTTGAAAACAATTTACTTTCCCCAGTTGCTTTCTCTTCTTTTCATTGCCATCACAAATCAACTGTATTAAGAGACAGAGAGCATCTCTGTCTTGGATTTCAGCCACTAAATGTCCTGAGGTCAGAGACAACCTCTTTTATAATTTGAGTTCAGTTCTACCTACTGCTGGGTACTCAGTAAATATGAAATGATGATTATACTAATTCATATCTGTTTAATCAGGCAGTCATGATATATGACTCAGAGTACTTAAGCACTTAGGCAGTGATTAACCATAATAAGAGTTGCATATGATTCTTCTAATTCCCAAGTTTCATATGCCATCTTGGCTCACTGTTTACAACCATCATCATCGCCTTTCTTCTCCTCATCAACACCAACTAACTTTCATTGTGTATGTCACTGTACGCAGCACCCTGAGCTATTTTGGAGAAAGCCAGAGTCTTTAGATTTATGTTTCTATATTTATTCACACTTATCACATTTTCTGGTTTCACAGAAGCCTAGCTGCCGAAATAATTTCATTTCCCTCTGCCTGATTGCTCAATTATTTTCCCAAATTAGTTTGATTTAATGTCATATCAGCACTTTGAATGGCAAGCCTCAATAATGTAAATCAAGCATATTCATGGCAGGATGCTATTCCTAGTACCTCACTGATTTTTTGACACATTATGCCTTCCGGAGAGCAGAGGAGAATGGAGGCTGGGCTAGACACTTTGATGCTGACCAGCATTTAGGCCAGGACATTGAAAACATTCATGTTTAAACTGGTGCCTTTTCTTACTCGTTGGTACCTTTTGTTACCCATTTGTAGGCCTTTGCTATGACCAACCAGATCCTGGTGGAGAGGTCAGTGACGGGGTGGAAAGAAATAGAATATGAAGTAGTCCGAGATGCTGATGACAATTGTGTCACCGTGTGTAACATGGAGAATGTTGATGCCATGGGTGTTCATACAGGTAGGCAAAGAATCTTTAAAAATTATAGTAGTGCCTTCAGCTCATGTGTTTGATAGCCCATAACAGTCTTTAGTAACTTCTTTTTCCCTTGAAATGACCATTTTTGGCTGACAGTCTAATGATACAAATTTTTATACATATAGTAAAATTGAAAATACTCTCACATTTATTTGATCATCACAAAAATCCTATGAACTAAGGCAGGAATTATTATCCTGATTTCAATTGAGGAAGGCATCAAATCTAAGCAATATAATGTGAAGGTGGGATCTATAAGAATTGATGTTGAGAAGTAAGTAATGATGTTAAGAAGACTTAGAGCAGACTGAGGTGTTTGTCCCCAGTGAATGAAAAAATAGCCACAAGTAATAGAAATAGGTTTTCTCAGGAAGTTAACTAGTTAGACTAGAGGGCACAGATATTGACTTAGGATTTAGAAATGCTAAATTTAATGTATGGATGAACATCACAAGAAGAGGGTTAAGAGTATAGGATTAGAGCTCAAGAATGTGATAGAGGTAGAGAATTTGATATCAAGTCATTGAAAGTCTTTGGTATAAAGATAATAATCAAAGCTGGACGCATTTATTAAGTATTCAAGGGTAGAGTATAAAAAAAAGAGAGAATAGGTTCCAGGATGTAACATTTAGATTTTATAGGGCAGAAGGGAGAGGAATGGTTAGTGTGGAATAAAAAGAATAGAGTGAGAGGAAGAAAAGCAGGGAAGTACAGTATCAAGTAAGCCAACCTAAGAAAATATTTCATAAAAGAGCTTTTGTTTGAGCTGTATAAAATGCTCTGAAAGGTTAAAAATGAGCTTTTAAATAGGGCGTTGGATGTTCAAGAGGATAGTTTTGATACAAAATTGGTTATGTGAACCATATTGAATGGAGTTCTATCGCAATGAATGATAAGCAGAACTGGTAAACTTCAAGGAGGTTAGTCATGTAAAGAATGAGAGATGGTTCTTGTGGTTATCTAGTAATGTTGAGGAAGCCACTTCCTGAGCTCCTGGAGATCTGGCATGTTTTCAGGCAAAAGGGATGGTGACTACAGACTAAGGGATTAAAGATACAAAGGACTCTGATTGAAGAGGAATGAGAAAATGGGAAGGAATGAGACATAGAAACAGGTGGAGTGCCCGTCTGAGTGACGGGAAGTTGATATTTTAGGGAAGGAAGAACTTGAGATAGAGATAATTTGAGATGAAGAGAAGGAAAATTGAAAAATGAATGTCAATTCAGTAAGTAGATGACTGAAGACTTGATAGCTAGATGAGTTTGGGAAAGGTGAGGAGGGTTTCTATAAATGTCAAAATAATACAGGCAAAACAAGAATCAGAGAAAATAATGCCTGCTGTGCCTTACACAGAAGATAACTCTTTTCCCAACAAACCCTTAGACTGTTCTGTGTCTTGTATCACACACACAAACTAATGAGTGCTGCCTGGATGTACAGGTGATTCAGTTGTTGTGGCCCCGGCCCAGACACTCTCGAATGCGGAGTTTCAGATGTTGAGACGCACTTCAGTCAACGTTGTTCGCCACTTGGGCATTGTGGGTGAATGCAACATCCAGTTTGCCCTTCATCCTACCTCAATGGAGTACTGCATCATTGAAGTGAACGCCAGACTGTCCCGAAGCTCTGCCCTCGCCTCCAAGGCCACTGGGTAAGACCAGAGTGCTGGACCGTGGGTTTGTGGGTGTTTCACAGAGAGAACTGGAAGACTGGCAGCTACTGAAGCCTGTGCTATGTTTACAAACTAGAGTCCCTATTTCTGTATGCTGGCTCCAAATCATTTAGGACCCTCAGGACACAGTTATTAATGAGCTTGCTGCCAGATTGAGGCAAATAGTATTGCTAGCTGGCTTTGTTTGCTGGCTAATCACAAACTAATCAAAATCTGGGTGGTCAAAACAGGCTGGGGAAAAATCTGCTTCTTAATTACACTTTGCAGATGTTGTTAAAAAGTGCAAATTAATCCTTAATTTTAGTTCTCAATTGGCTTTTTCACATGTAGCAAATGGTGCACAAATAATATATAGTTCACTTGACTTAAGCATTCAATATACATTATTTTATTTTAGCAAAAATTCCACAGACCAAACAATATATGATTTTTCTATAGGTAAAGGTTGCCACCAAATAAATTTGCCATCCACATAACAATTGCTGACAAGCATTATTGGGGGTGGGGGGATTAATTAATACCCTTTATTACTATTCATGTTATGCCTTTGGCATTTAAATTATATGGCATGTGATGAATAAAATATTTACCTCTGAATAGAAGGCATGCTGCCCTAGGCCAGAGACAGGACACCCGAGTTCTCATTCTGATTCTTCTACTGACTGTGAGACTTGGAACACATTACTTATTATCTCTCTCAGTCTCCTCATCACAGATGGTGGAATTGTACTAAAGAATTCATAAGTAGTTCCATAGTTCTATGAATTATTTTCTGAAGTATCATTACCACACTGACATTCCAGACAAAGCTAATCTGTTTCCAGAGTGATAGTTCTGTTGGAAGCCCAAAGTTCAAAGATAATTTGGAGATAGAGCAAGGACCTAAACTTGCAATGCCTACCTTTTCTGACTATTACATAACCAACAGTATCAACTAACTCCACTGTGTTCTCAGGTGCAGACATGCATATATTTTGGAGATTTTACACAAGTGAGCACCTTATCAAGGCAACTATTTGTTTTAGGTTGAAAAGATGTAGGTTGGGAGCTGTAGCACCGCATGTCAGACATAGGGAATGAATTCTTTTGGGACTTCTGCCTCTATATTTTATTGTGACTCACATCCTATATAATAAAAGGCTAATATGCGAATTGACCAAATGGTGGAATGACCGGTTGCTATGATGTTCACTGACCACCAGGGGGCAGACAGTCAATGCAGGAATTTCCCCCTGGTGGTCAATGCGCTCCCACAGGAGGAGCACTGCTCAACCAGAAGCCGGGCTCACGGCTGGCGCGTGCAGCAGCCTTGGTGGGAGCCTCTCTTACCTTCGCTGCAGTGCTAAGGACCTCTGACTCAGGCTTAGTCCCAGTCCCTGAGGGCTCCCAGACTGCGAGAGAGTGCAGGCCAGGCTGAGGGACCACGCCCCCCAAGTGCACAAATTCCATGCACCAGGCCTCTAGTTATTTTATAAGTGGCTATTCAATGTTCATCCCAAATGGAGACTCATGTGTGTTTTAGATTCTGATTTTCTAAGAAAGACCAATTTTTGTTTTAGGCTCTTTTTTAATACTTATTGCTGAAATAAATAAACAATTGTTTCTTCCTTCATAGATACCCATTGGCATTTATTGCTGCAAAGATTGCCTTAGGAATCCCACTTCCAGAAATCAAGAACGTTGTGTCAGGGAAGACATCAGCCTGCTTTGAACCCAGCCTGGATTACATGGTCACTAAGATTCCTCGCTGGGATCTTGACCGTTTCCATGGAACATCCAGCCGAATTGGTAGCTCCATGAAGAGTGTAGGAGAGGTGAGTCCTTGGTTTATTTCTTTATTTCATCCTTGTTCCCAGTTATGTTGCCTAATTTTTAATAATAGCATTGAAAGTTCTAAGGTTGCCTGGATTCTGGGTTCATAAATGAAGGATATAGAGGAATTTTATTTCCTCCCAAGTATTTCTCTATCTCTCTATTAAACTGTTAACATTAGGCATTTGTTACATGATTATTTAATGGCTTCGAAGAGCATCTAAGCATTCTAGTATTCTAAGAGCATTCAGAAGAAGAGGCCATATGTGTAGGTATAATAAATAATGCATTAAAACACATATTTATACTTATATAACTGAATTTAATGTACTTTATAACTGAATCAAGACAATACTAATATATAAAATATAACATGGTATACAAAAAGACCAATGAATTGTGATTAAGAGTTCAACCTTAGTCCCTGAAAATTGCGGCTATCATCTCTGGATCTTACGTTTTATCTAGAAAAGAATGAAGCGAGGGTGGAAGACCTCTCATGATCCTTCCAGCTCTAAAATTCTAAATTGAGATGAGCACAGTAGAGTATTAAGCCCCTTTTATTAAACCAAAATGTTCCAAGCTTTTAGCACCCTTCAATTTTACATAATGTTCTATTTTAAATTCTAACTTAAAGTTAGCTTTTGATTCTTCCTTCTTCAGAGAAGCAGTGCTCCTTGTGCAGGAAGAAACCAAGGGATTCAGATCCCCACCTCTGAGATTCACTCTCCTGCTACTCCCACCAAGGGTTTCTCTTTTTGCTTCCAGGAGGCTTGAGATAATAGAGAGACCATGAGCGTTCGAATCAGATGAACTCTTGGTGTGGCCACTTACTAGCTAGAGACACTCATGGGAAACACTGAGCCTCAGGTCCTCCATTTGAAAAATGGGAGATGATAATACTTTGTGGGGCTCTTATAAGGTTTTGGCTTAATGCACAGTGTTTAGTAATAATTTTTAAAGTAGATTTACAGCACATTTCCAATAAATGTATTGTATCAATGTTATTGTCAATGTTTATGAGTCGATTTTTTTTAAATACAAGCAGTATGTACAAATCTCAAAATCTATCTCTACCAGCAGCCTGTCTGTTTCACTTTAACTCATCGCTGTCTCTGTGTGGTCAATATAGAAGCTCTTAGTGTGTGTCTAGATAGCCTAGCCGGTTAGATTACACAGCAAAAAACTGCTTGTGAACTAATGTTCTATTTGGCCTTCATTTTCCCATAGTACAGGTTATAACATAAACTCAGATGAGTCATTTTAGAAACTCAGACTAGTCATGCCATGAATTACAGGAAATATAGCTTAAACCTATAACTAATGCAGAGGAAAAGAAAGAAAATGTCATATTCACATAAGGAAGGCAGACCTATTACTATTTTGGGTTCTTACTACATGCAGACACTGGGAGGATAAAGTAGTGAGTTTCCAAGATATTAATGGAAGATTTTAGAGTAATGACAGATAAGGAACAACTTGACCTTTTAAATGAAAACGTCTTACTAGTTGTAAAAGACAAGTAGCAGTTTTTCTTCCTTATTGTTGTTTTAAATCTTATTTTTTCTATACTGCTTCAAGCTACACAATAGAATTAGAACTAAAGGCCATGATAAGTTTTGTTGGTAGTTTGTTCTGCCAAAAAACACTGTTATTTAGTTTACATTTTGTGTGAAGTGTCCCTTTTCATAATGTTTGGAGTAAAATTTGTAGGGCAAAGAATATGAGATAATATAATGTTTTCATTTAGGGCTTATTACCTGACCTATTGTCAGTTAATTTTAACCTTTAGTTCATGTAGTTCAACTCAAGTTAGTGTCTACTTCCTGAGGTCTTACTACATGCAGACACTGGGAGGATAAGGCAGTGAGTAAGATAATTATTGTGGCACATTAGAACTAGGTTCTTTATAGGGCCAACACTTAAATTTGTAATACTTAAAAATGTTATTTAATATTTCAAACCTATTTTCTCGATTTGATAATAGTACCATGAAACATCTTCTATCTGGCAGCCTCTCCCAGGTCTAGCTGAGAAAAATCTGTGAACATATTGTCTAACTCTTCAAATACCACTATGCCTTGCAAATTGCATATCTGAATCACACTAAGCTTTTATCTATTCCCACTCCTGAGAATCTTCCCTTATTTCTAATTAAATTTGAAGCAGTGTGGAAAGGTTATCTGATATGCTTTAGTGATCTTTGAATATGTATCTTGTCACACAATTGACAGGAAGATTTACCAAACTGATAGTCATTGGAATTCAGGTCCATTTGAAGAATCAGGGGCATTTATTGAAGGCAGCATTAACACTATTATTATTTTAAATTGGTGACCAAAAATACATAGCAATTTATTATTCTATGGAATGATTCAAAGACAGTGTTTATCCACTGAAAATAACTAGGCAGCCTTCAAAGTCAATTTAAGTTTAGTTCTGACTTGTAACTTGTTCAAACTAAATCACCACATTGTTTTTCTAATTGATTAGTGTACAATCAGCTGTAAAGATTGTGGGAAGACACATTGAATTTGTCATGGGGAATTTAATTCCCACCTACTCTTAAAATCTGAATCTGTCAGTATTTGTTATGACTCTCAAGGTTCTATTAATATTAATGCTTAGCTGTAAGAAAGCCAGCCTGTCTTGGATGCTGATTGAAATCTGTTTAGAATAGTTCTATTTATGTATGCCCAAGGAAGGGTCTATGTTTTCTGGCCACAGATTCCTTATTTTAATGCTATGGTGAGGAGCAGGTACAGGTGATGTCCTCCTCAAGCTCAGCAAATACAGTGACATTCTCTAAGTGGTAAAAGACTGGACTAACATTGAAGACTTTATATCAAAATCATGAAGGCAAGGAGAGAAAAAAAAAATTAAAAACCTAAAATTGAGTAGTAGTGTTCTGATACTTGTTTTATTCCTAAGTCTTTTCTGAAAAACATTCCTTTTCTAGTACAGTTACAAATTAGGAACAAATACACTCTTCCTTTAAATAAGAGCTCTGAAATGTGTGTTACAGGTCATGGCTATTGGGCGCACCTTTGAGGAGAGTTTCCAGAAGGCTTTACGGATGTGCCACCCCTCCATAGATGGTTTCACCTCCAGGCTCCCGATGAACAAAGACTGGCCATCCAACCTAGATCTCAAAAGAGAGCTGTCTGACCCATCCAGCACCCGCATCTATGCCATTGCCAAGGTAACCTATGACAAACAGTCCAGACCCACTATTGTTTTCAGAATATAGGCAGCCTGAATATTAAAATAAAATCTTAAATTCAGGGACTTGGGAAAGATTTTAATTGTCTTTAATGGTATTAAACTGGAGATTTCATTGGATTTCATCAGATTATTGTATGTTAATTAAAAAATTGCCTTTTTAAATTAGACTTTAAGCCTAGAGTTAAAGATACATTACAGTTTTAAGGGATGATCAGACAGATGAAATGTTTCTCCTTTTTAGTGTATATAATACCAATACTCTTAAGTAGTTTTGATAATATTGGCTTGTCATTTCCTATCAATCTCATAACTTGTTCCTTGAAAATACGTAAAATTATATTTTAGAAAATAAGGTGTATAAAATAGTATCACTTAGTAGGGGTTACTTAAGACTCTAGGATACTATTTCTTTGCTTCTTTTTCTGGGTTTAAAAAACAACAACAGACTGTAAAGAACTTTCATGATTATAAGCTTTTCTCTATATAATTATTTTATTGGTTTTACTTTTAGAATAAAAAAAAGACCCACATTTCTCACTTCCACTCCATAGTTCCCTTTTATGCAAATTAAATGCCACATTAATCTCCTTTCATGTTTACTATGCTTAGAGTTTTGAGGTTTGAGCTTATCTGATTTTATAAAAGGTGACTTGGCCAGCTGGGATCTGTCTGGTCAGAAATCCCTACATGGCTTTTTGACATTTAAGGAAGCTTAGGCATTAATCCTTCAATAGTATCAAACCACACTGGAATTACAAAGCCCCGCTGACCATTTTATGCCTGCGTGTGTGCCTCTGGGATGAGTTGATGAAAAATAGGAATTTTGTCTTTAAAAAGGGAATGTGTTTTTGTAATTTGTCTCCTTGTAACAGCAAAATGCTGTTAGGTGATTTTAACTCACTGCAACTTTCAAGTCTAGATATTGAGAGTCCTGGCATATCATGTATACTCTTCTCACCTTTATGGTTTCTAAAGGCAGACTGTTTCATTCCCATTCAAATTCTGGGGGATACTAGTATCTTTTGATGAACATTTCTCAATGTTGAATTTCAAGGTAATAGGGAATTAATATCTTCCAGTGGTGGAGGGGTGATAGTAACGATGAGATGTTAACTCTAGAAAGCCATCTCACCTTCTTTATTGGTTTTATTTCAGTCTTTTGTTTAACACGCAATGCACCATATTCATATGTATATGTGTATGTCTCATACATGAATTCCCCCCTTAAGTCTAGTCATTACACTTCTGCCATTTTGAGGCAAATGATAAGAAGGAAGTATTTTCAAGTTCCCAGGGAGGCTGTAAAACTCAAGCAAACCTTTTCTTCTTCTTTTAAAAGATTTACAAAGGATGAGAATTCAGGGGGAAACGTGCGGAGATTCTTTCTTGCACAGACTGCCCTACGTTTGAGCAAAAAGTGCGGGGTCTGGGGTATAAATTACTGTCTCCCAGAGCGCTGAGAGAAGGAATTGATCTCTATTTGTTAGAGGTCATCATTACTGTTCATTTCCACAGCAACCAAGCACTTGGTGACTTTGACAAAGAGTGTAAGGACTGCAGAGGGCTGAAGGGGAAAGAGAATGAAGGGAGTGTGTAAATCTTCGCTGGGTTTCATGATTCTTAGAAAAGGGCAACTTGCTCTGAGGCCTGCCTTTTGCAGCAGTCTTATTTCAGGATGACTGGATCATCACCTATTTTGATTTGGGGAGAACACAGGGCATTATGTGTGGCCTGAGGAACATTAGTGTCACCTCAAACTTGTTTGGGGTCATTATGAACTTCATTATGGCCATGCTACACGGCAAAGGCTTGAAGATGAAGTCCTAAGACAGGCGGTATCTTACCCTCTGTTCTAAGCTGCAGGTGTGACTTCGGCTGTCCTTCCTCATGGTGACATGATTACAGTATTCTAGGGCCTCTGTCACACGCAGGGCGATCACTGTTATGTGACTGTATGCAAACTTCCTCTGGTCTGTCAGAGGGCTCCAACCTCAGGCTCTATCCTCCGTACAGTGTAGATAGCCAACAGCTAATTGTGCTTTACTCGCTTGGAAAATAAGACAGAATAGTAGCTTCTTGGGAGTCTGGCTGTAATTACAGGGAGAATTATACTTATGAAGGGAACATGCCTTTGAGTACTCCCATTAGATGTCATTTTATTCCAATCAACAGAATTATGAACTGTGCTATCTCTTCACACTTAAAATTATGGTTTCTCTGATACTAGAGATAAGTAAAAGTTTTAAGAAATTTAAGTTCTCTGGATTGGAATATTTAACACCAAAGTGCTAGTTACATATATTTCTTAATGGGGTTTAAAAATATAGTGTGCCATTCTAAAGTATTCTGTTTTGAAATACTATCCGATTGTGCTTTATTTGGTATAAGTATATATCTAAAAATAGTGAAAAATAAGAATAGACATCTTTTGAATATGTAACTTCTGGTTTTGAGAATTTATCTTCTCTTCATTTAGTCGCCTTTTCTAGTTAACCTAATGACTCATAATTGTAATTTTACTTTTGAGAAATTGCTAAAATAAGCTTCAGAGAAAGGCTGAGCTGCCTTTCAGAACCAAAGCTATTGCTGCACTGTTTTGGGAATATATTAAGATTTTGAAAAATGCTTTTCTTAGTGCAAAGTCAAAGTAACTGATTCAAAATAATTTCTTGTTTGAAGTCCTCTGTGAGAGTATAGTCTAGAGAAAAAAGACCAAGATAGATTTGACCCATATATTTTCACTGACTAGTTTGCATGCATATGGAATGAGGTAATAAAAAGATGCCATTTGCTAAAGGGTTAGCATCCAAAATACAAGTCAAATGATCGTTATAACAATTCGAGATTTTTCTTACCGATTTGGCTTAACTGTAGTTTCAAGAGATTTCCTTTAATTCCAAAAAAATGTCCCAAATTTAGGATATAATTGGTAATGTAGTCATATTAAGAGCAGGAGGCAGAGCCTGTTAGAGATTTTTTTCTGAGCACATAACACTCTGATTAACTCAGCACACTCCTTCGATGTCACTGTGAAAATAGTTGGCAGTATCTGTAGGTGTATTGAGAGCAACATCAGTGATATGGTACCAGTTTCATGTTTTATGTCTCAGACTATAGCCTCAGGCTCTGACTAACAAGGAGAGGGATGCTGCTCAATGTTTTCAACCAAATAAGACATTTATAAACTGCTTTCCAAAAAATGTATCTCTTCTCCTTTTGGCAGGCTTTGGAAGGCAATATGCCCCTTGATGAGGTTGTGAAGCTCACATCCATTGACAAGTGGTTTTTGTTCAAGATGCGTGACATTTTAAACATGGAAAAGACTCTGAAAGGGCTCAACAGGTAAGGCAGTATGGCTCTGTAACTTCAGATGTCTCCTGGGTAATTTTCAAATGGTCTTCCTCTTACCCTTAAGCATTTGACCAAAATGGTGGTTCAACACGGTAAATAGTGCCAAGATTGAAAGTCAGTGGCCATAGCCAAAAGAAATGGCAGTTTTAAGATGTTTACTATTAGAAGGTATCTATTAATATTTGAACCATCTCCTCTTTTCCATCCATGCCATCAAACATAATGATGTTTTTATTAGGTCTTTTGAATTTATGAAAAGCAATGTACACTTATGGTATCATGTGCTATTTAACTACTAAACATTACCTAGTTTAAATTTGAATAATCAATAGAATAATATTCATGTTTTCTATACATTTTCTGAATTCCAAGTTTTTCTTTTTCTTTTCTTTTTTTTTAAAAAGTATGTTTTAATTGTATTTTTTTAGAGAGAGAGGAAGGAAGAGAGATAGATAGAAAAACGGATGAGAGATACATCATCAATTGGCTGCCTCCTGCATGCTCCCTTCTGGGGATTGAGCCCACAACCTGGGTGGGTATGAACCCTAGCCAAGAATTGAACTGCAATCTCTTGGTTCCCGAGTTGATGCTCAATATCTGAGCCACACCAGCCAAGCCTATTTCTCTCTTTTAACATCAGCCTACACATTGCTGTATATTGACGAGCAAATGTATTCTGCTTGCATTTTACTGACATTTTTAACAGTGGGACTTCCAGTTCAGTCTGCAAATAAGCCACATTCCAGTCACTGATAACAGACTCTTTACCTCTCACTAATTTGCAATTTTTACCTCCTCTATGGCCAATTACTTTTAAAATTAAATGTTCACAATGTTCAGATAATGTTAGTGCTTTAAGATGTTTTTATTTTATGAGTTAGGTCATTTGTTGGGGCACCTCAAGTTTATAAAATCATGGATAGGTCTTAAAAATGTATTTTTAATGCCTTATTTATTTATTGTTGCTGATTTATTATTATTTTTTTAAATTTACCTTTATTGATGCAAGTATCACAGATATTCCTTTTTGGTAAGAGAAGTACTTTTATCAATTTAAGGGACATCGTATAATCCTCTTCAGCACTCCCCTTTAAGAGAGCTCTGAACTACATTGCTATCAGAAAGATGCCTCACCTGCAAGCATATGTTTAGAGAGGGAAACATTTTTCCTGTACAAATTATTCTCTAATGATTTGAGAAAATGTAGGAAAATTCATTGGTAAAAATATGGTTGAGGACAGTAGAGGATCTCAAAGCCTTGATTTTTCAACTATTTAGCAACTACAACATAAACATAGGGTTGCTGTGTTTACTTCAACAAGATGCATACACGCTGAGCACTGAAAACACTTGCTTTTCTTTTTTAGCAAAACGAGGTTCTTTTTCATCTATTCAACAGTTGCCCACCACAAATGCTTGATTTTGGGAACTGGCAATTCCGATCTTGCTTAGAAGTCATTCTTCCCAGTGATCACATAAAATGAACAGTAGAGAGCAAAGAAGTTAAGAACCGAGCCTGTACATTCATTTTAGAATTGTGCTGACTTGAAGTTTCCTTTCTGGGTTTATGATGCCAGCAGAACTTCAACGTTGAATTATAGTCAGTTCCACTGTTTTCAGTTTTAAACAACGGATTTCAAATGCCTACGAAACTGTCCCAGTGAAACCACTAGAGGGGGCTAGAAACTTACACTATGCCAGTTGTAGCAGTGGAAGAGACTTGGGTGAAAAATAGCAGATGTTATTGTGATTTAAATTTCCACTTGATAAACATTCTGATTTTTAGACAAATTCAATGTTTTGATTGAATAGTTTTTGTTACAACCAGAAGGCAGCTTGAGATTCTGGCTAAGCAGAAGTAAGTCTATATTGAGAGTGATTAAGTTCCTTGGAGGATTAGAACAAGTCAAGGTTTCAGGTCACTTATAACCGCTTTCTTCGACATCCTGTTGCATTTATTTGCTGATAATTTGACATTGTCAGTCATCATTTTCTTGCATAGGCCTATTTGTAAATAAGGGTATTTTCTATTAGTCATAATTTCTTACATTAAGCCCTCTTATATAAAGCTTTCAATAATTTAAAAGATTCCAAAAAGTTATACTTACAATGATCTCAACAGATGATTCATGATGTCAGTAAACTTAAACCCTGAATCATTATTATCTGAGTAATACTTCACTGTTTAATTCATTTCTTTCTGGTGTGTCATAGATGCACAAATAGCTTTTTGATAATGGTAGCTATTTAGAGGTGTTAGATAGTGAAATAAAAATAGATGGCCACTGAAGCCATCTGTCTCGGTCTTTCTGTGGGGATCTGAAGGTGAAAGCACATTGCAGCTGATGTCATGTGTGTAGAACTTCAGCTTTCTTGCCCTGCTTTGATGAGCTTCGCCATCAGTATCTTCTGCTTATCTGGATTGTGACATCTGCTTTTTCTCAGCAATTATATATCCAGGGAGCCTTAGTCATTAGGCATCTATAGCTCCATCAGTAATAGCTCTCTAGTAAGTTTTGGTGCTCTATGGCTGAATTACATATTGCCAGCTCGGAGAAAAGTTAAGATCACTGTTCTTTTTCATTTGCATTTATTTGAGGTTCACTTATTTTTTTATTAAAACTTTTTTTTTATTGATCTCAAACAGGAAGAGAGAGGAAGAGAGGGATGGAAACATCAATGATGAGAGAGAATCATAGATCAGCTGCCTACTGGGGATCAAGCCCACAACCTGGGCATGTGCCCTGACCTGGAATCGAACTGTGATCTCTTGGTTCATAGGTTGGTGCTCAACCACTGAGCCACCCCTGCCAGGCTGTGGTTCACTTATTTTTAAGATCTCAACTTCTTCAGTGTTGAAAAGTCTGGCTTTACGCTTAGGCCTAAAGGGGTAGCTATTTGTATGGTATGCTTTGAGAGATCCCCCAAATTCACTTGCTTCAACTTATCGCTGGTACCAATGTGCCAGGTCTCTTTTGCACTTTTCTTATAGGTTCCTGGAAAAATAGGCCTTGGAGATCTCAACTGGAGGGAAAGGAGAAACTTAAAGAGAGGACACAGTATAGATGCTGGACGTGGGGGAAGGTTCACTGGTCCCTTCCCAGTGTGCTGGAAGGAGCACAGGCTGTGAGCCAGTCAGCCAGATGGCTGTGCAGTCTTTCCCACAGTGGAATCTCTGGCATGTTAACTCCCTCACTTCTTCAGCCTCAGAGCCTCCCTGCTCCACTTTATAGTTTATGGAGCTTAAACGATATACGTGTAAAGGAAACCTGGCACATAATGAATATCCAAAGAGGTTTTCCCTCTTTCCCCTTAAAAATGAAAATATACTTATTCTAGTGAAGACTATTTTGTGATTTTTAGATATAGGCATTTAAAGATTTTTTCAGTCACAATTTGCATTTGCTTATCTATATTGCAGTATATCATCCCTTAATTTTCTTTATGATGTGCTGTTACTTATTTTACTACAAGGTTATACTTTTTTTTTTTAAAAGGAAGCAATGATATCTAGTGATAAAAATGTTATCCTTATAAAAATATCATTAACACTTCATATGCTAATAAACAAAAATTCCCACCCATAGCAGTTAATCATGCTATAATTCTTCTAACATTGAATAAACAGAGGATGAGAATATCATTCAAACTGATGGCCAGTCTATATGTATATTTATAGATAGTCAGCTGAAATGAGGTCTAGAATTTAAGTCCCAAATTGCATATACCCACATATTTGGTATACAAATGTCCACTGACTAGAATGGGGAAGACAAAACTGATCATAGCAAGGTCAGCATTTTTCCAATGTCTCAAATACAGTTTTCCATGTATTTGAGACATTAGAAAATTATGGTCAGAAATCCCTTGCCTTGAAGGGTGTAAGTAAACATGCATTACAGCGAAGATGAGGAATGAAATACCAGTCTTCTGGGTGATGAGAACTATTAGATGGGTGTTAGGATAATCTACTCAGCTCCTAGCATTTGCTTTCATCAGAACTCCATTTGTCGCCTCCAATCCATGAGCATAGCAATGGCGACCTCAGGGGACTTCCAGAGCAGCATCCATTCCTACCGACCTAGTCTGAGATAATCATTATTCAGACAGCTTCAGCAAAAACACTTTCTCTTCCCACCTGAGTTCACTGACTTTCTCCCTTTTCCTCTTAAATTGTTTATGGCTGCCCAGGGGCATGCTAGGAACGTTGACTGTTCCAGGCTATTCCCCAAATTTATAAGCTGGTGTAGTAGCATCAATCGACCTGGAGTGATAATATATTGTATAGCAGATTTCTTTAGGCTTTGAAAAGTTTCTCTTTACTCAGTGTGATGTGAATTGTATCCTGTAGGATTCCAAGGCCTATTACATATATACATTGGGGTTTGGATGTTTCATCTAGTAACTTTACATTACCAGATCACTTTGCCAGGAGTTTAAGAAAAGTTAAGTCTGCAGGCATTTTTAATGGAGTGGCATTTGTATAAAGCTTATCCATTGGCCTTCACTGCTGAGATAGCCAACCTTTAGTATGTCTACTGTCACCATACTTACCCTAAACATAAATGTTTCTCCCACAGAACGTTTTCACCGATATTCATTAGAAGAAAAATATGCTTATTTTTCTTTATGAAAAACTATAAAAACTCACTGATAGTCCTTTCTTCCATTAGGACATTGACAGATTCCACTTTGGTTATGCATATAAATTTGGTGTGGAGGGAAGAATTGCAAGTACCATGAATCAGATACATATATCAAGTGTCTTCATTTATGAGGTTCTCCTGATATAGCTGATTCTCTAAAGTAACAAAATAATGTAATTAGAACTCTGTTAACATACATACTTGAATTTTGATTCACTCAAACAATTCTGAGTGCCTTCCTAGTGTAAAATAATAATCACCAAATTTATTGACTACTCATTAGGCACTATTCTAAGCTCATTATTTTATTTAATGCTTACCACTACTTAAGGAATGTAGTAATTA